GCTGAATGAACGTGCTACGAGGATTCTTACTCGTCCCCCTAACTTGTTGCCATACTTCCGTGTGACTCGACTGTGCAATATTGGGATGACTGTCCTTCCCAAAAAGGAGGCCACTTCCTTTTCTTGGCATCGCAGCTATCTCATTCCCTTAAACAACGTCCCAGTTAGGTAAGATTGGGGTTTGCAGTTTCTCATGATAGGCCAAATGGATGCTGCAGTGAGATCCCAGCAAGGCCACATGGGTCTTGGCCAGATCATTTATCAACTTCGTCGAGTCAGGTGAAGAATCTCGGTAATGCCCTACATCAATAGCCTCTGAGAGTGGGCAGAATTGCATGGAGAGTAAGCTTATGCAGCCCAATCATTCTATATGTACGGGGTCGAGCACACTACTCACTGACAATTGGTGCAGTACGGCTGACAGCTGAAAGCGAGAGGGTTACGCTTCCATCCTTCCCGTCAGCCCCTGGACAGCAAGGCTTATAACCCCACCTCTTGGCTGTCAAAATGCTTCCCCTTTTGTGTCGATTTTAGTCGCCTTCCATGAAATAATGTCTAACTGCTGTCTTCCAAAACGGCCCGAGAAATCAACATGTTCCTTCAGCAGTTGAAGATATGCAAAACACATTTAGAACCACACCTTCTACGACATTGTTCGTCGGTGATAAGTTATTCAGGGAGCAGAGTGTGCCTTGGCTCAACGCACTCCAGCCAATAAATGAATGCCACCTATCCTTGTGGAATGAAACATTGAGCATGACGTGTCTGAGCACGACGTGTTACTTGTTGAACCAAATGTCTGAAACGGAATACCGAACTTATCCATCTGGGGTTGATCGTTCCCGCCACGGCTTTCCATCTCTGGTAAACCGGAGAGAGCATGACTTATCTTCGGCATTCAAGAACTTGGTTCCAAAAATGAGAATCGAATAACAGAACTTGATGAATTGAGAGATCATCTATCGCTTCTATTCTTGCGCCATGCTGCGTCGGGGTATGTAGGTAAAAGCTAGCTGCTGCGACGCCGCCTTTACAAGCTTAGGATACAATTTCGGCAGATTTCGAAAATTCCAAGAATATGGAAAAACTGGCGGGCTGCAGCGTGTTTTCTTTGGCAGAATAACGGCATCAAGGTGCCACCTATGACATCGGCGACAACCACCTGACCTACGGATTTGAATCTTTCACACGAAACCTTCTCTGGGTCTCTTTGATGAAATTCAAGCTGATCAGAGAAGTGAGTGATGATGTAGAGCCGACTAAGTTGCGTTTGCTCCTTACTAGTATATCTACGTAGGACATTTCTCTATCTATTCGAACGAAACTTAAGGATCTCTTCTGGAAACTCTCTACTAGTGCTATGAATCCTCTAAGAATCTACACAACTCTCCTAATGACTTTATATCATCTTTGATTCCTCTCCGCTCTTGCGTCCCTCCCAGGTTTCTTTAACCACTCGCCAATAACGATCCGGATCAGATCGTGCATGCGCCACATGCTTGCTATTGCCGAAATCCTCTTGGTACAAAACATGAAAGCCTTTGGCAAGAGCATCCTTTGCATTAGCTTGTACGGCATTCTTTCTGACCAATTGATCGGCAGTGCTGAATACGTAGGACCGGCACGTTTCAACAGACCTTGTCTTGTTATTCGCTGCCTGGCCCCAAACTCGAGGCCAGTCGGCGCCACCGAGGACACGCACCCAAACCCAAAGACATATACTGAGGAGATGGGCAAGTGGTGTGGCCACGATCCGTGCATGTGGCAAGAATCACAAGACGTGGCCCATTTTGGTCTTCTTGTTGTGTCTCTTTCAAACTCGGATCTTCTTGGTAGAGAATGACCGATGGAGACAGCTGGATAGGAGCCGGATAGGTAGCCATTTGCGTGTTTCAGAGGAGTGTTTTTACTTGTGTTGCTTTCCTTCGACATGTTCACGATCTAGCAGCTGGCTATATACAAATGGTTTCCTGAGTCTCCCCAACAAAATGGAAACTTATATATTGGTTTTGAACAATGCTACAAGGTTTCCATCATTTTACTTAGACAAACTACGTCTATCTAAATTACTCCCCCCGGTCAGCAAGAGCACAAACAGCTAGCGGGAATCCTATGGTCCACAGCTCCAACAAGCGAGTGCGATGTGCGAGTGCGAGGCCTTCTTGAATAAAAGGAAAGCTGTTTCTCTGATTAAGTAAATCTGCATATGACATAAAGAGTCCGCTTCTCATCCATTATGAGAACGCCAACCGCTCTGCCTCCATGAAGCATGGTTAAATTCACCCACAAGGTTTCTGATGTTCAATCCACCACACTGCCAAAATAAAGCGATATTCACATACGAGAGTTTTTATCTATCGTCAAAATGACCACGGAGGAAATCAATTCCCCGGGCATCTATCGCTGGCCGTAGGGCCGGCAGAAAGGGCCTGGGCTCTCGGGGAGTAAATGCCACTAATGAAACTCACTTTACAAATGCCGCAGATCCTTTTCTTTTTTGTCCCTCTTGTTTCTTATCTTTTTCCTCTGTCCTCTAAGCACTATCTTCCATCATCTCCGAGGCAACGAGGAGAAACTTTGAGCGCTAGACAGCCAGCTTTCGTCTCTTCCAAGTCGTGCCCCCCCCTATCGCGGAATCCACGGAGTCCACGGAATGCGAATGCGTGATCAATGCAAAAAGAGTAAAGTGGCTCATATATGAGGGTGTGGCTCTAGGTTTTTGGACTTTCTATCGGGTTGGCCATTTTCATTTGATGCCGAAATGTCCGAATATGAAAGGAGATTTTACTTACTTGACTTGGCCGAAGCTATCTCACGGCAGGTTAAGTAAACACAGAGCTGGGTCCTAAATTCATATTAAGAGCTCTACTATTGATCTTATGGGTCTTACTAGAGCTAAAACTTGAAGCAACTTAAACGCCGAATGGGTGGTGATTTGCCAATATGCTATCTGATATTTTAGCACTTAAGAGCTTGACATACGGCGCTTGGGGTGATTCTTATATATTAGTTGCTGGCAAACTACCCCTTTCTTTTTGCGGAACTAACTTCCCGAAGGCTCTCACAGAACCTCAAACTTACATAGACTGAATCAAAGGCAATATTGGTATAGTAAGGAATCGATCATCCCACTATGCAATTTCTCACGTAATTCTCTATCACTGTTCGTCAGCCTGGTCGTCGACTTCGCTGCATGACATTCAATTGTTCCCTTTGGGGCTCAATTTCACTATGGTTTGCCTACCTGGAGTCTTGCGGGAACATGTATAGACAAACCAAGGATTAGACCTATTGAATTTTAGCTCTTTTCAGAATGATGGGCCAAGTAATATACGATGCTGCCCGTGGCAAATCCAGTCCATTCCAACCCCTATTCATAAGTAAGTTTATCTCAGCCACTCTATCAAGTCCTTATATTTAAACAACCGCTATTTCATGAGTAGTGATAGCTTCAAGGGACCCGTTGCAGTAAGAAGTTGCCTTCGAACATGGACAACCAAGATCGTTTAAGAAATAAGAATCAACAGCGCCAGGCTGTCTGTCTCCAATAAGCACGAGGATATATGCCAATTGTCATTAGTGCTTGAACTTGAACTTCTATATTTGTTTATTGTTAAGTTACCATAGGAAATCTGTACTAAGATTTCGCGTGGGAGGAGAGACTCGATGGATTGATGAACAGAACTCGGTCGACCTATGAACGCGGATGGTAGTTAGTGTGAGCAGTTGCCACTATGGGAAGTAAAAGAGGTGAACTCGCATGAAAATGTAGATGATCACCCAGGTATCGATTGTTGTAATCATCGAACGAGTAACACAACAAGAAATGTGAATGCTTTACGTATGGGAGTTTGGAGGCGATGGTGGGGAAAACAAGTCAGCCCGTAGGATGGGGGCATTTGCTCAACGATATTAATGATCGGGGCTTTTGTAAATGTACCCAAAGGAGGCTGTGCCCTCGTCCCCGTTAATCTTTCACTTGACTACAGCAACTATTTACGTATACACTTATCGCTTAGAGATCCTATGGAATCCTTTAGCCTTATCTCATAAACAGCATCACCTATCTACAAAGCACGGATATCCGGAATTCATGCCTAGCCGTGCTGTTATTGATGCCTCCAATTCTATTTACACTCCACGGCGACGGGACCCAATAACTCCCGACAGGAGGTGATTGGATGCTTCTAGCCAGGGGAACAACAATACCCCTTGCACGAAATACGAAGCTTAGCGTACATCAGACGATATGGGCGTTTATTAAGCGGGAAAGGGAGCCAAAGCCGTGTTGACCCCTGCTACCACCCCCGTAAACGCCCATCTACTATTGGCTGGTTCGTCTATGAAGCCCACTAAGAGTTTGCCTTCTCCATGGTCTTTGCTTGTTTATTTTTCAGAGTAACTTAGACTAACTGGCTGGGGGCAAAATAGCTGGGAAATACGTATGCTGCCCCTCCATTCTAAGACATCATGTAGAGATTCTGCTTTGTTTAGGGGCATTAGGCAATAAGCGTGAGATCTGACGTACGTATTGGCGGTTGAGTGGAGATAGCGTAACAACAAAGTACATCCGGGTGATACGCAATACGAGCTGGCACAGACCGGTCACTGAGCTGGAGCAACAGGCGACAACGAGCCAAGTTGTAGTTTACTCCGGGCTGTGTCAAATAGCACGGAATACCATAGGATTGTACTTCCAAATACGTCTAGCGTCTATATCAATAGATTCTAAATACGAGCAGGCCGGCTCAATGCATCAGATCTGCACCAAGGTCCCTCCCTGGTTTCTGACTTTGCTGAAGCGGACTAAATCGTGTGGCCGGTACGCTATGTATTTAGAATATTTAGTTCCCGATCTTTTGCTGCCATTTGTTTACTCATCGTCTGCGTCTCTCTCTTGCGTATTGGTTTCGTCTTCGGTCGGTTTAGAGTTGCTACATCCTCTATAATCATATTATCACTTGTTCATTGAAGGGTGAAGGCAAAAAGCGGCCTGTATGATGGCCCCCAAGGGCAACTGGAGCGGCCGTCCTTCGAATGCCTTACTGTCGAATGTCGCCTTATTGAACGCCGTTCATGATGCATACCTTCACGCCGAGCCGTATCCACTAGATGCAAAAACGAGCATCGTCGTCAATACATGGCGCGAATCAAACCGAAAGGCTCCAACTATTGATTCTTCGTTGGCTGCACGAGCATGGGAACATGCTAGACGTCGAATCGAAGATAACTGCGTCCTTTTGCCGTGAGCACTTCCCGAAGACAATCATTCCATTTTCTAACAGCAATAGGTCCCTCCACCCATCAGCCCCGACAGTATTCATACCGTTTCTCGAGACTCTTCCTTTCGTTATCCCTTCTTCAATATTCACATGTCTTCAAGCACTGCAGCCTTTTCTTTGCTGCATGACACCTCTCAATCCTTCGACCCCTCGATACGCTGCCCTATCACTCAAGTTAAGTGTCGACCTTCAGGGACAGGCTTTAGATGCCAAGCTAGCTCTCCCGGCCGACGGAATCGACCTTGTGAAAGGACTACTAGGCATTCCTATGGAAACCGGTTATCGAGCCTTCAATGTCTTCTACTATCTCCTCGCATCTTCTTCAACACCGACCGAACGGGAGTTCCTACATCTAAAACATGCCTCTGATTACTTGTTATTATCACGATCGAGAACCTACTACACGCCTGATACCCTGCCTACAATCAATGATGATGCATCAGCCGACGACTTTCGCCAACTTCTTCAACGCATGGGCATCAAGGGATCTGTCCGCCGAAACCTTCTTTCGACTTTAGCAGGCATACTTACTCTTGGCAACACGCTGGAATACACCGGACCTTCAGAGGAGCTGTCAGATGTTTATGGGGAAGCGGGCGAGCTTCTAGACATTGATCCTGACATACTCATTACGCAATCCAATGCCCAACGACGTGCATTCATCAGCCAACTGTACCAATCGATTGTGCAGTGGATGGTCTCCAAGGCCAACGAGCTTATAAGACTTGAGCTACGCTCAGACAACGGCAGATTGGGCTTGGAGCATGGGCAGACTATCGGTATTGTGGATGAAGGTACAGATAGTACCGTATCCATAACCGTTATAGACATGCCAGACCCATCATTTGGAAGAGCGGTCGGAATGCAGTCTATTTTTGACCAATCTTTTGGCATCAACAGTGAGATTTCAGACGACGGTATTGAAATCGAGCCTATCGAGACAAATGTGGCCAAAGATATGCGCAAGGCGATGGCTCAGAGTGCATTTTATCAAAGCATCATGTCGAGCAGAGAAGACAAGGTGATGGATCAGGACGAGGAAGACACTTTTGAGCGGATTGCCCTCTCGGCCGATGACGACAGTTTCATGAAGAACATACTCACTTATAGAGATATGCAAGCGGCGGGGGGGGACGGAGCCGAGCCTGAGGAGTTCCTCTCCCATTTTACCTCCAGTAGGCTATGGTATCTACTTTCCTTGTACCCGGGGTCCGAAGGCGGGATTCCTGATCAAGGGAGTGAACTGGCCTCTTCAGCGCCTCATTGGTCTGCCAGCCAGGTCACCACGCAGCTCTTAGAATGGCGACTTCGCGACTGGGCTAACCAACGGTTCCGGCACCTCGGCTTTACCGCCGACTTCGACCTCGACGAATTCCTAGAGCGGTATTCCATCATTGGATGCCAGGGACCTGAAAGTCAGATAAGCGAATGGTCAGCTGCCATAGGCTGGGGAAGCAGAGAAATCCTTTTCGGACATAGTCGTCTTTGGCTGAGCGAAGAGGCTTGGTGGCATTTGGAGAAATTGCGTGACAATACTATCGCAGCAATGAGAACTAGGACATTCAGTTCAATCCACTCGCAGTCTGATATGGCTTATGTCCAGAGACCTCAGAGTATGTCTTACAGTGTAGGCCTTGGCCTCAACGAAAGCAGCGATCATCTTCTTAGGGCAGACCCAGCGGCTGGGCTGAGCAAACAGCCAACGGCAACAAGCTATCAAGGGAAAGCAGGCTTTGAGCCTCGCCAGACAATCGCCTCCGTGGAAGACCTTTCGCCCGTTGATACAAAATTGAAACGGCTGTCCGATCCTGAGCTAGGAAACAAGACTGTGGTGGAGGTTGAGCCTACAACGAGAAGTCGTCGTCTGTGGGTAGGATTTGTTTGGGCGATGACTTTTTGGATCCCATCTTTCCTTCTTACTCATATCGGCCGAATGAAAAGGCCAGATGTTCGGCAGGCATGGCGTGAGAAAGTGGTGTTGGTCTTCATTATATTATTCCTCAACGCGTTGATTTTGTTCTGGATGATCGGCCTCGGCAATCTGCTGTGCCCCAACTACGACAAGGCATGGACGCGAAAGGAAGTTTCTACCCATCAAGGAGAAGACGATTTCTGGGTCAGCATTCATGGCGGGGTCTACGATATATCAGATTTCTGGCGACGCCAGCACAGTGACACCGCGATAGAAACCACCACCGCTAATATGCAACCTCTCGCGGGGTTCGACATGGACGAATACTTTGTTCCTCCACTTTACATGGCCTGCAAGGGGCTCGGGATAGCGAAGACGACTGCCCTGACGGCCAATACTACCCCGGAGTATTCTACTGCCGTCCACACCTCTGGACAAGCGGCTTTGTATCCACAGAGCGCTCTGAAGAAAGATGATTGGTATTGGACCCATTTTGAGCCATCTATCAAGGAGTACTACCATGGAAACCTCGTTTACTCCGAGGGTGACTTTAAGGATCAAGCTAGGCGACAGCGCATGTGGGCAAGGTACGGGGAGCGTATCTATGATCTCACTAATTACTTCTATACGAAAGGCCTCCACAAGGGGGATGCCCAGTACGAGTTTCTGGACAAAGAAATTCTCGATTTATGGCAAGACAACTTGGGAAAGGACATCCAAACCGACTATGAAGCTCTTATCAAAGATTCTGCCAATAACAAAACGAGACTTGACAGCATCACGGCAAGCTGGGATTGCATCCAAGCCATCAGCTTCAAGGGAATTTTGGATTTCCGAGAGACCGCGAAATGCCAGGTAAATAGCGCGCTGCTCCTGGCATTTACAGTCATCGTGTGTACCATAATCGTGACAAAGTTTCTTGCTGCAGTTCGATTTGGTTCAAAGCGAATCCCCGTGCAACAAGACAAGTTTGTTATCTGTCAAGTCCCAGCTTATTCCGAAGGCGAGGAGTCTTTGAGAAAGGCGATCAACTCACTTACAAACCTCAAATACGACAACAGGCGAAAGCTCTTATGCATTATTTGCGACGGTCTTGTCGTTGGGCAAGGGAATGACCGTACTACGCCGAAGATCATACTCGAGCTGCTTGGCGTTGATCAGACGTACGACCCTCCAGCGCACGCGTTCAAGTCCATCGGCACAGGTAGTGCACAACTAAACTACGGAAAGGTATATTCCGGCCTCTACGAACATGAGGGGAATATTGTCCCGTACATCGTGATCGTCAAGGTTGGCAAAGAGTCTGAGCAGTCTCGAACAAAGCCAGGAAATCGCGGGAAACGGGACTCACAGATGGTTTTGATGAGCTTTTTGAATAGAGTTCACCACAACGCCCCGATGAATCCGCTGGAACTTGAACTTTTTCACCACATTAACACCATCATAGGCGTTGACCCTCAGCTTTATGAGTTCTTGCTGATGGTTGACGCTGATACATGTGTTGATGAGGATGCATTAAATCACTTGGTTGCTGCTTGCACCGAGAATACCAAAATTGCAGGCATTTGTGGCGAGACGACGTTGGCCAATGATCAAAGGAGTTGGTGGACAATGATTCAAATATACGAGTATTTCATATCTCATCACTTGGCTAAAGCCTTCGAATCATTGTTTGGCTCTGTTACTTGCCTACCAGGATGGTTTGTCACCCGAATCTCTTTCGTGATGCAATTTGCTGACCAATTCATTCACTAGCTTTACGATGTACCGTTTGAAAACTTATGATGGCAGGAAGCCTCTGATCGTCTCGGATGCCGTGATCCAAGACTATAGCATCTGTGACGTGGAGACTTTGCACATGAAGAATCTATTATCCCTCGGAGAGGACCGCTACTTGACAACCCTCATGATGAAGCATTTCCCCCGCATGTGGCTCAAATTCCTACCAGAAGCCAAATGCCAAACTGCTGCTCCAGAGTCGTGGAGCGTCCTTCTATCACAGCGAAGAAGATGGATAAACTCCACCATTCACAACCTGGCTGAGCTGATGCGCCTTGAGAATATGTGCGGTTTCTGCTTTTTTGGTATGCGAGCTGTCGTTTTCGCAGATCTTTTCGGTACTATTATTTTCCCAGCTACCTGCGTATATCTGGGATATCTCTTTTATCGACTGGGGACAAAGAGTGGTCCATTCCCTACGATCTCAATAGCCCTGTTGGCAGGATCATATGGGCTGCAGGCTCTGCTTTTTCTCTTCAGAGCGGACTGGCAACACATAGGCTGGATGATTATATACATCATGGCATTGCCTCTTTACTCTTTTGTCCTCCCTCTCTATTCTTTTTGGAACCAGGACAACTTTACATGGGGTAACACTCGTGTTGTCATTGGCGAAAAGGGAAACAAGCAGGTAGTTGCTATCGACGACGAGGAGGTCTTTGATCCCAGTCTCATCCCACTACACCACTGGGTTGACTACCCTTCACGCTACACTCCGTCTCCAATTCCAAATCGGAATCATGCACAAAGTGCGCTCTCTGGTTCCATTACTACTCCCAAACTGAACCTCCAAAGCCGTGCACCCACGGCCCTGGGACATCGGTCTAGCGTTGGGGTGTTCCGCGATCAGTTGACTGAATTTCGGGGTAGAGAGACACCAGATGCATTTTTAGATCCCTCTGGCAGAGACAGTTTCACTCAAGAGATCATTCGGAACTCGGTGAGATCTTTGCTAGAAGAGATAAACTTAGACACGGTTACGAAAGGGCAGATACGCGCTATTCTTGAACAACGCCTTCACACGAGCCTGACGGGAGAAGAGCTGGAAATCTTCAACCAAGAGCTCGACAGTCAGCTTCAGCGCATATAATGGTTACTTTTTAGTTTTTTGCAAAAGATATAATATATTAATTAATCTAAGGTGATTTTAATATAGAATAATATTACTATTCTTTTTAATAAATTCCCCTATTCTAGAGAGCTTAGTAGATAATATTATACGTATTCATAAATCGAAACAAGGAGCTCTTGCGTCTCGCAGCGCTTAGGAACATGAGGAACGCTCGGATTAACGCTCGGATTATGTGGACTATTGGCTTATTGTACTTACCCCGTCAAGCATGCACAAAGTTATCCCAATACACGGACCTAGGCAAGAATATTGCAATGGTATGAAACCTTCAATTGTAGTTTATTTGGATGGAAGATGGTGATGCTAATCCTCGCACCCTGCGTACGACGCGAAGCTATATGCTGAGTATCATCCCGCCCATCTAGCTATCTACAATTCGAATTGAGAGAGGTAGAACAAAACAATAAGACAAACATAACAACAAACATAAACCGACCCTCTCAGCAATTGGCCAGAATACCATTAGAGTAAAGGGCATACGAGTCAGCATTGTTGAGTGACTGCGAAGCGCTAATGGAAGTCACACAGCCCTCATAGCCGTAGCAAACGTCGTCGGTTCCCTTGACAGCAACCAAGTGCGTCGCCTCATGGACCAACACATAGGGCTGGTCAGCGGCGTGACAGGCGGTGGAGGATGCCGGGAACTGGAACCAGTAATCGCACAAGACGATATACTCGCTGCCTCCTGGCTGGGTGTAGGCGACGACGCCATCGGTGCACCAGTTTCCGACGTCGGTACAGTACAGCTTCACGGCGCCGCTGGTGCTGCTGCTGAACTGGCTAGCGGTCTTGTCAAACACACTCGCTACTGTGCTCTTTGTGCTGCTTGAGGTGGAGTGGAAATATTGGTTCAGTCTGGTTCCGGCCGTGGCAGCAGAACTGGCAGACTGAGCATATGACTTGGCCTTGCTGATGGCATTGGTAACAGCGGTCTTCCTCGAGCCGCTGCAGTCGTTCTGGACTGTGACGCGCTTCTCGTGCTGAGCGATCTTGAAGGCGGAGAAGACTTCAGCAGCTTGGGTGCCGTCAACCTTGGCCTGGATCGTATCCGAGCTGTAAACAACCTGGCCAACGATGGTGTTGCTTCCCTCATTGGCGTACTGGAGGCTTCCAGTAGTGGCGATATCGAAGGCGCCGCCGGCACCCAAATCATGCCATTGAGCAGCGTCCCACTCAACCTCGACCGTCTCTCCTGCAGCAATCACCTGGAAGGCTGAGTCTGAGAGATTCTCAGTGTGGATAAAAAAGCGTGGGCCGGTAAAGGGAATACTCTTGGCTGTAGATGTGGTTAGTTAGTTTTATAACGGATCGAAGTTGATAATAACAGAATAAAGTTGTTAAAAATGTAAGGAAGGTGACAACAACGGAAGGAAGTTGATAATATCCTGTCGAAGTTGATAATAACTGAAGGAAGGAGACGTAATAGAAAGGGAATAAAGTTCAACAGCAATGGAAGCTGCCAGAGCCCGGCAACTCAACACAATGAATAGAAGAAAGGGAACAATAACTGAAGGAAGGTGACAATAATAGATTGATGGTGAAAATAACGGATCGAATGTGACAATAACGGATCGAAGGTGATAAGAATGTTATAAGCGAAGGAATTGAACTAGCTTACCATTCTGTGAAATCCTAGCCTTCTCGACAGGTGCTGAGTCAAGAATGCTGCCAGTCTTCAACACTCGCAGCGCGGAGTCTCCCGTGTTAGTAATGCTCGCTTTGAATCCAGTGTTGCCGAGCTGCTCGACCTTAACATCGAGAGGCGATGCTCGCTTAGTGAGATCAACGGCAGCAGCGCTTGCTAGACCGAGGAGGGCGGAGAAGATAGCGGCAGTCTTCATCTTGACTATTAGACTGTCTTGTTCCAATGTTTGTGAGGCTTAAAACAATAACACAATAAGACAAGCAAACAATAAAACAACCCTCATAATCAAGAGAGCAGATCAAGGCTTTATATCCTACTTGAGGTTTCATCGATTCTAGTTACCATTACATGATCCAATACACTAACGCCGCGTTCTAGCAACATCCTTTCCCCTTTAGGCGAGCGATAAAACTGCCAGGGTAGTAGGGTAGAGCTCTGAAACGGCGCTTCAATGGTGTGGCCCCAGGATCTGTCACGACAGGGAACACTACGACGAGGGCTTACAAAAGTTCTTTCAAGGTTCCGTTGTTCTAACGTAACATTATAGAAAGTGCTTTGTTCAAGACCGCTTTTCTCATATATGTATGAGCTCATTGCTGGAAAATTTAGGTGCAGGGTTAAGCAAATCGGCCTTAGGTAGAGTCATGTTTTGAGCCCTTATTGCATGTGTAGGCGAGTATGAAAGTTCAAAAAGGGCAGAAAATGACTGTGGTACTCATCCTTACCATCCAAATAAGGCAGCATTCGGAGGGTCGTCCCAATTTAGCAAGCATCAATCCACGCTCCGTCCCCTGCGTTTGGTGTGGGGTGTCTCATCTGGCTGGGAGATTTTCCCCTGGCTGCGGCCAGGCGCTGCTAGAGACGGCCTTCAGAGCATTGAGCGAGTAATGTGTCGTCAACATTGAGGATGTTCTTTTAGAACCAAACAATAATGTACAGGATATGGCGGCCTCGCAAGGTCAAGCCCTGAACGAAGCAACATATTGTGCCTGACTGTTTCAACTTGAATTTGCAATGATCTAATCCATTCCCTCAGATATTAAGTGCATAGTACCTGTGTATTGGAAATATGAAAGAGTATTGTCCCTCCCTAGAGTAAGATAGGAAAAGAGTTAAAACCCCTCCAATCGGGCAGAAGCCCGTGATCTATAGGCTCCTTATTGCGATCCTTGCTGTTGCACCAAAGAATCTTGAGAAGAAATTTTGAACTGCTAATGCATTGATAAAAGAGCATCGGCAGGCGGCCTGCACCTTTCATCCACTACGAAGAACCGAGAGCGAAGCGAGCCCAAACGTGGTTTGGGCATGGTCTCTTCCTCGTAAAGTATAACCTAAATTGTCGATCACGGACCTTTGTATCAGCTGCGGATGTCACTCTTAGATGTATGTGTCCGGGGGGATGTGTCTGCAGGAGTCAAGCGCGTGTTTCGAATGTGTGAGCAGATATCCCAACAAACAACACCCTCGATTGACCCACTCGTATCGTAGGAGCACTCCTAATTATTGGGAACACTTTAATGTGACATACCAGAAACAGCAGTTCCATGGCATATCTTGAAATGCCGAACAGAAGATGTCTCCGGAGGCCCAGTCCGAGGTCGCCCACCCATTCCCGAACCAATCGGCAACGTGCCCGAACCCAACCTGTAGCGTAACGTACCATATCACTTCACACGATTTGCGGTTGTTGATGGTCACCTTCGGCCAAGTACGCTTCTCGGTGGAGTTGAATTCACATCAGGATATCCTACGCGAGGCTTACATTCTTGGTACCCTCGGCGGCAGAAGCTTGCCGATATTGATACCATCACTTACATCTCAAGGTTGCATCTACTCGGCAAAAACATATGGCAACACTTTCTCAGATGCCCTTACCCAATAACTGCGTCAAAGAAAATAGAGATTACTCAAAGAAGCAGGTGTGGTCGATCTATTACCTTGCTAACACTCATCATTACTGGAATAATTGTCAGGACTTCGAACTTTGATTAGAGATGAGGTATGTATCATGAAACCATCGCCTCCTCGTATAATCCCTGCAAGACATACCTTACCACATGTATTCAAGGCACGATGATCCTCCCAATTCTATTCTCTGCTGTTGCCACTCTCGCAGTAATGTCTCACAAATGAATTTAACTCCCATTAACATTCCGACGAACAAAACTCACAAGAAGTAGTCTTATCGAAAGCCGGTAAAGGGAAAAAGCTCCATTGCACAGCTGGGCTGGCATTTTACTGAATGATAAGTACGCCGGTAGGGCAGTTTGTGGTCATTGATTTATTTATTTTTCTCAAGAAAGGAAGAGTGCAGAGAAATGACCAATTACAATGTGAGACCAACTCAGAAATAGTCAATCGGCACTATCCTATCCATAGAAAACAAATGTACGATATTTCCTACACGCTACTGAATAGATCTAGCATACCTCATGAAAGCATAGTTCTCAGAGACCCTCCTGGACCCTCCATAAACAAAAAAAATGTAGTAGATAATGGGGCTGGTCATGGATTATTTTATTCTTCTCTCTAAAGGCTTCAGTAACTTTCGTTCCCATACGCATTGAGAAAGAGGAACATAACGAGCTAAATCTTTGCGTTGCAGGGTTCCTAAGCAACGCAAGCCGCAGAAACTCCTTTTTCGAGTTTTATTACGTGCGATACCATCTGTCAAGTTCTTTTTGTTAGAAGGTTTATCAAACAGAAAAGCAACAATATCCCAGTTTGTAATAATCTTGTTTCCCACTGACTCAAGATCCAACTCTCGGAAGAGTCACCAAATATAATATCTTGTGCCCTATTAAGTTCCTTTCTTGCAGCCTAAGGACTATTTCAAGGTAGATGGGTCTGCCTGCCTGTTGTCTGTTTGGATCGAATTTGCTGGTTTGCCGAATAAACACAATAGGCAGATCAAAAATTATACCGGAATAGTGTAAATTTTCAAGTAAGGACAAGTTATTAAGAGCCTCGTGAACTAATCTCTCTCTATCTATAAAACTATCTACTGCTTTGGGTTCTGTAATAATAATAGTATTTAATGATAGTCTAACTAGGCTCCTAACTCGAAAGAAATATGTATAAAAGTCTATCAAATCATGTGTATGGACGTTCAAGCTAATCTGTGTGCTGTTTCAGCTTGTGCAGTATCGTGCTGTGAGGTGTTATTTGCTGTAGCGTGGTCCTGCGCGGCATCTAAACCGCTGCTTGTACCCCTTATGTATGCCATCAACGACTACAGCGCCCTGGTGAAGTCGCCTTACCCGATTGCCAAAATCTACCGTCGGCCTCCTCTGCCTCACCCTCTTCTACATCTCGCTCAACCTCGTCGGGCTGTACATCACCTGCGACCGCACCCTCTGGACGCTGGCGTGCGACAGCGCAGCCCTTCCTCCGCATTTTTGGCGCTATCAGCCGCCGTCAGGAGATGCCCCTCTGGTTAACGCTGGCCACGGCCGTCCTCATAGCCTGCGCGTACATGCTCGTCTTCTTAGTCATCTACTGCTTCCCCGCCTTCCTCCCCACGACGGCTGAGTCAATGAACTACGCCGCCCTGCTCTGGGGGGCTCACCCTCCTCCTCTCTGCGTGGTGGCTTCTGGGGGCTAAGAAGGGGTATGTCGGACCTATCACGACGGGAAGTGAAAATGCCATGCAAAGAGTCCTAGGTTCAATGGTTTTCTAGGATATTGGCCTGAGACTTGGTTTGGTAGCGTGGCAGTACACATGTTTGGCACTTACAATCGCGTACTGATCATCGTTCATCAAGTTCGAAAAAGTTGTGTCATGCCAGTAGTGGTCGGATGTTGCTTCAAGGAAAAGTCAACCCTTCGATATGTCCTGAATGTCTTAGAACGTTGGCCTTGTTAGTTGTGAGTGATTGTCGGAGTCTTGTCGAGGTAAACTAAATCATGCCGGGTCAGTCGTCGCACCTGCACTCAGTACGTCCATTCTCTTGCCGCTTGATATTGGCAGGTGTTGTGATAGGGTGTAACATAGGATTGCAACTTGCAGAGCTATCTAGCTCACTTGGCTGCTGCAGGCTCAAAAGAGCACTGAGATCCTGGAAAAGGTCAATGCCTGACAAGTCAATTGTCACACAAAAATGTGACGCCACACTTATTTGCCAGGCAACTGGGCTCACATACTCCTCGGCATTAATGAGAATCGCACAACACGGTATTAGGACCATCCTGAGAGAAAGATGTAGCAATAAGTTATGAATAGCTAGAGTCATTTTTCTTCTTATTATTCCCCATGAAACAACAATTGAGATAGAATCTCAACCCTAAGAGATTCTTCGCTGAAGTCAGATGATGGAATAAGAGAAGAATAAAAATCTACTATACAGTCATTGTTGCAGACCAACGTCTCTCAAGCTTACTGTAGGATGCTTTTTTATACAATGTCGCCTGAAGTTATCCCTTCTGTAAGGCCTTCCAGCCTTTTTACAGCCCTTAACAGAACATTCCCAATATTTCTTGTCTTTGTTGTGGGTATCCTTGTGGCGGCTGAGGCTTGCTGAATGCCCGAAGGTCTTTCCACACTCCAGACATTGAAGTAAGTGAGTAGCCGGGGGTGTTTGCGGTTGTGGAAATGAATCACAATTCATACCTGGGTTGATGGTATCCTCTTGAAAAGGACCCCATGGATGGCGATCATCCGGGATGGGGGAGAATGGTGTATTATTCGTGTAATTGTTTCCGCTAGATGTCGTATTGCCTGAGTAGGTGTCTCGCTGCGAGTGTAGGCCAATTCGCGACCCTGTAGAGACAGCTTCAGAATTGTCGTCTCCATAGAAATACTCAGGTGCAGCGTCAGCATTAGTCGAATGCGAAGAGAGACTCTGGAAAAAGTGCTCAGACGTTTCCGCATCATCTATCGCATACTCGTTGTCGACGAAGGCCCAGGAGTTCTCGGACGAGAGTTCTGAGGGATTAAGCCTATTTCTGTAGGGAGAGGAGTTGGCCTGGTTGAAGTTGCTAAGGGGCCAAGGCGCGTTGCTTGACAGATCTCAGGTAGGCGAGGATCTCCTGCTAGCAGGTGCAGGAGACCCGCCTCCTTATCGAAGAACCAAAGGAAAGAAGTTGAGCTAATTGCAGTCCCGGGCTACTATTTGATAACCCAGGACTGCGTCGGCAATAGTATGGGGTCGCTTTATAAGAGGGGATAAGCAAGGTCTGAACTTCCCACTTGAACTTGAGTCGAACCAGTAGAGCCAGGGTGGTGCTGACCTATCTTTTAAGGTCTCAACTTTGCCATGAAATCTACAGACATTATATATGTCACCCAATCTAGGCCTAATTGTAAGCCTCGATTCTCGGCATGCGCCTGATATGCAATTCATTCCCACACAGTGGGGATTAGCCTCAAAAGGAACCAATAGAGAACGTCAATGGGATAAGAATTTGTTGGATCATGATGCCTAATGCCTCACTACCTGGTTGACCTCAATTCTGACCAATGAAAAACGTCGGTTGTGTGAGGCGTGCTTGTGCGTTGGCCACGCTCAGAGGGAGGTAGTGTCAGGCAGGCTCTTGATAGCCTCAAAAATAGCCAATAGGCTTCAAGCTTCATAGCACTGCAACCAACAGTAATGCTGCAAATGAAGGGTGCGACATCAATACTAGCCCAAAGCGAATTGAACCAATTCATTTTGTTTTCCGAATACAGGAGGCAAAACTGAGGGTTAAGATACATTGATGCTCCCGTCCCCGCGTGGTGTCCGTACCTCTCGGACGCCTATAAAACAACAGCCCTTTCCGACTTGTAAACATATCTTTTTCAACACCTTCAGTTGTTTTCAGCTCATTGCATTTGAGTACATCTTTCAAAACCTCTGAAATTCATCGAATAGTCCTTACAAATCTGAAATCATTCCAATCTTTGACTTTCAACATGACTGTTCTGCAAGAAGTCCCTCAGTTATCTGACCCTCAGCTGCTTGACAGGATAGACAGGCTTCGCGATCTCAATATCGCTCAACACGTAGCCTTACCGCAGGTAGGGCATTCAATTTTTTTCATTGACGCGTACTCACTGCACCTGGATTCAATACTGACCCCTGCAGCTTGTCGTTGTTGGAGATCAAAGCTCTGGAAAATCATCTCTTCTAGAAAACGTAACTGGGATTCCCTTTCCTCGAGATCAGACACTCTGCACCCGCCATGCTACTCAGATTTCTTCCCGTCGCCAAGATGTCGAGGGAGTCGACATTAGCATTATTCCAGGGCCTAATGCTTCCGACGACCATCGGAAGCACCTCGAGGCTTTTTGCTGTACCGAGTCTAGCAGCTCAGAATTTCGACTGCATTTTACTGATATAATGAAGAAGGTAAGATCTATTTTAAACACTGACCAGCAGCAATTCTATATAACCCAACTAATATATTTGACCTAAAGGCGCACGAACAAATGGGCTTACGATCAGACCTATCAAATGGTCAAGGAGCTATCTTCAGTGAAGACGTTCTGAAAGTGGAAATTTATGGTCCTCAAGAGGATCTTCTTACTATTATTGACGTTCCTGGAATATTCCGCGTTACAGGAGACGGAACTACTAAAAACGACATGGAAATGGTGAATAACCTCGTCCGAAAGTACATGAAAGACAAGCGCACGATCATCCTGACTGTTTTGCCGAGCAATGTTGACATTGCCACCCAAGAGATCCTGCAACTAGCCGAGGAATTCGACAAGGATGGAGAGCGTACCATCGGTATTCTCACCAAGCCAGATCTAGTCACCGAAAAGGGTGCTCAAGATGCAGTTTGCAATCTCGTCAGAGGGAAGCGAAGGCCACTCACGCTGGGCTATTATATTGTTCGCAATCGCGGTGCTGATGATTCAAAGGTCGAGTATGATCAACTTGAACAGACTCTCAGAAATCATCCATGGAATCAGCTCCCGAGGGATAGAGTAGGCATCTCAGCGCTCAAAGGACAGCTGCGGTGCCTCTTGTTGGATATCTCTACGAGGGAGTTTCCCAAGATGATGGCGGACATCGACCAACAGCTAAGAATTTGTAACGACGAGCTGGACGAGCTGGGACCGCCCCGTCAGAATCAGCGAGAACAGCGCACATTTCCCAGTCGAATGGCCGGGCAGTTCCAGGACCACGTCAGATCAGCCTTATCGGCGGACTATAACGCAAGTAAGATCTTCGAAAAGGAGAAGTTGCGTCTGATCACACAAGTCGTGAATATCACAGAAATCTTCTGTTTTGAGTTTCACAAGCGAGCTCATTCAAGAAACTTTGAGATCCCCGGACACATTCCACAACTTACAACTGAGGACTGGGATTCTGGGGATAAGTCAACTGGCGCTAGTGAAGCAGAAGAGTCAGCCTTCGATTCGCATATTCGACTTATACAGGAACTTGTCAACAGCGCGAATGTTGACAATGGTACAGAACAGGAATTGGCAGAGCTTGGCAATATTCTTGCCTTTCCTGACGATATCAATAGCCCAGACGACAATATGGCAACATGGATCAAGGATGTTTACCTCCGGTCCAGGGGTCTCGATCTCGGAACATTTAACGCCCACCTTGTATCCGCGGCCTTTGCGGAACAATCTCGCAAATGGAAGCCTATTACAGAGACTTATATGAACAGAGTGATTCTCACGGTCCATCGCTTCATCAAAATTATACTCGCCGAGATCTGTCAAGATCAAGAAATCTATCAAAAGCTGTGGAGAGAGGTTCTCACCGGTCTCTTGCCGGGCTATAGAAGAGCTCTAGAACAAATGAAACTATTGATCCACGTTGATCAACAGAGACAGCCATACACGCTCAATAAGCGCTTCAATGAGAGTCTTGCAGAGATGAAAGGCGAGCGCTTGATGGCCTTTCTTTACTCAACAGCAAGGAAGGACACTAAGCAGTACGGCGAGGTCCAGTATATGGTCAATTTGCGAGATATCCCCTGTGTAACCAAGACCCAGAGCAATTCTGAGCACTTGCAACAAGAGGTACATGATATTCTCCGAGCTTATTATAGCCTGACGCGAGATCGCTACATCGACAACATCTTCCAGCTTGCTGTGAACTATCATCTGCTGAATGGACCGGGAAGCCCTCTTAAGGTGTTTACGCAAGACTGGGTCTTGGGCTTGGAAAACGGTGATCTTGACCGAATCGCTGGTGAGTCTAAGGCCATGAAGAGGAATCGCAGCCGGATCAAGAAGAAGATGAGCGATTTGGAGAAAGCTTTGAACATTCTCAAAGAACCTTGAGCAGCGAACTTTTGGCTTCTGGGGGATGAACAAGGTTGGCAAGAGCCTGGAGGACAGTACAGTCAGTCAGCTGATTAGTTTCGTCCAATTTATAGCCTCGAGATTTGAGAGAGCATTCTCTTTCACAAGGGTAGAAATCCTATTAATTGTTACATTTGCGAAAGTTTCTATTTTTTTTTAGCAACTGTGCTCTTCTCTAAGTCACGCCACTTAAGGAATCACAGACTAATACAAACTAGCCTTGGAAAATTATTCATCTCTAAGCTTTTGAGAAGAATTATTATATAAATTACAATAAGCTATTCTTTTAAGTTTAAAACTCTTTTAATCTAGGAAAAGATATATATCTATAGTATATAGTTATTTTTCTAACTAATATTAACAAACTCTATATTATTTGAATCTAATAATATATATTAAATTATTTAAAATAATGAACTTTATCAATTTATAAAGCCAAGGTCTTAAAGGTATCTTTAACTCTCATAATACTCAATCGATAATCCTAGCCTTGAATCCAGTGTTACCGAGCTGCTTGACTTTGATATCGAGAGGCGAGGAGCGTCTAGTTAGTTCAACGGCGGCAGCGTTTGCTGAAGCGAAGCGGGCAGCGGAAGTAGGGTGGGTTGGTCCCTTGGCTTGTTCAAGGTTGTATAAATCTTGTCGGCAATAGGGATACGACTGGGGGGTTATAATTCAGTACTAGTGACAGATAATGGTGTGTTGGGTAGTGAGGATTCGCTTCATAAACTTTGTTGGTCAAGGTAAAAAATGGTCTTAGTATGGTTACAATGCGACGATTTCATAGATAGATGTGAGGTTACGATAGTGCGTAGTCTCTTAGATTACAGGCATTAAAACTATTAAGCAAGCATTGATTATCTTTGAGAGATTTCACGGGAAATAAGTTACCGCGACGTAACTCTATAGCTTTAGCTATCAATGTCAAGGTATGGATGGGCCGTCTAGTAAGCTTGCAGGGTAAGTATATATATATATATTTTCTTTGGTTTTTTTTTCGTACAATCAATACACATAGCGGCTGGGTCAAATATGACCCCCAGACTTTTTCCTTGCGGCGTTTCTTGCTCTCGTCACTTCAGCACTAAATCGGGTTATTGAGAAACTCTATAAAGGGAGGGAAATAGTAGGTGTAAGAGAAGGCTCAGAGGAGCAACCAGTCCCTATATTAACAGGCCTGCAGAGACTCGATATTAAATCTAATCAACTCTGCTCTGACCTTTCTTGCGGGCCGAGCACATGAAATCAGGTAGGTACTTCTGTTGGTTGTCAAGGATTGACACCACCGCCCTAAACAGGAATCCTTAAGCTTGGCTGTTGGTCACCGACATTAATGTCTCAGTGCAGCCAGTTAGGAGACGTGTATGCACGGCCATCACATTGCATCTCCACCTTCAGCTGCCCAAATACGAAGGCCTGCATGTGGCGGTGTTCAGCCCAGCCATTCCTTCGCAACTCAGCGCTGCGTCATTCAGAGGTTTAGAGCGGAAATCTGCATGCAGTGCTACGACTGCCTTGGTTGTGGCATGCGATCTCTGTCACTTCGAAGGAAAGGCAGAGCCAGCAGAAGGAATATGGTTCTCTAGACGCTAGGTGTGTCGTAAGCTAGGTCCTGGTTTCAGCTCAGCCCTCAGCTACGGAGGAGAGGACCCAAAGATAGAAACAAGCGCTGTGAGACGGTGGGGGCAATATGCAGGTTACCGGAAACGTTGCGTCATGCAGCATCTTCTCCCAGATCATGGTGTTGACGGTGCCGCCAGCCTTACCAACTGCATAACCTTACCATGGCCGTAATGCGGCTTAATCGCCACACAGCGGAAGCGGACGCATCTCCGATGCACATGAATGGCAAGGGATAAGCCAGAGGCGAACATGATCCTCGACCGTCAGCTCGTCATATCAGACAGATCATATATACTACTCTCAGCCAATATAGAAGGCCGGCACGCCTCCTTTCCAAAAAGAAAAAGAAAGCCCAAACTAGCCGCCGGCGGTTCCCGTTGGCAGTATCCCTGCAACGAATAGTTCGGTTCGCCTGCCCCCCAAGGACTCGACCGATCTCTCACCCCAGACTTGGGACGGTTGGTTCTTCAATCCCACCTACCCCTCCCTTCATCCCATCAACTTGGAGACTTAATCTTACTCCTCTGTCCCTCTCCATATCCAACCCACTTACCATTTGATAGCGGTACTACAGCTACAGCAATGGTCGGACCAGCCAAGGAGATCATAGACAGACTGAGCGTCGACTGCAAGGAAGGCGGCTCATTCTACGTCTGCCAAGACAAACCAGTCCAGTTCATCGGCTGCTGCACTCTCGATCCCTGCAAAACCGACGACGGCAACTGTCCCACGGAAAACCTGCGCAACACAACCTTCGACAAACTACACTACAGTCAGTTCAAGGCCCAGGGCTGCCTCAGCAATGCCCCCCAAGACATATTCTATACCTGCGCGAACAATGATCCCCCTTTTATGGGATGCTGTGCCCAGAACCCCTGCCAATCCAACGGGTGCGCGGCGACCAACCTCTCATCGGCCGTGCTAAGCAAAAACAAAGAAAACGCGAGCGTCTTCCTCCCCGCAGAGACCGGAGCCAACTATCGAGCTCCTTCCCCTGGAGCTACAGCGGGTATTGCGATCGGTGCCGTAGTCGGTAGTCTCGTCATGATTGTGCTCGGCCTGATGTGGTTCCGGAGGCGAGCGAAAGCCAAAAACAACAACACATCAGGTCAGCCGCCCAGCTGGATGAGCCCCAATACAGCGGCAGCACCGTTCCTCGGGAGCTACACGAATTTGAACACATCGGGTAATGGAACACCGCCACCCTACTCCTCGCCACCGATGCAGTTGCATGGGCAGCAGCAACAGGGTGGGTTTTGGCAGTCACCGCCGGTCGGATCGTACCAGTTCCAAGGGCCGTACGACAACCGCAGGTTGCTGGGGCCACAATCTAGTGGCTACCTACCTGGTTTAGTAAATGGCAATGAGGATGGGTGGTGGAGGCAGCAACCACAGCAGACGGTGTTGCAGGAGCTTCCACCCCAACACGGGTTGGTAGAGTTACCAGAAGAGCAGAAGGTTGGGAAAACCCCGAGTCATCCGATTCAAGATGAGGACGATTCGAATGGGCCGGGTAAAGTGGGTGACTGAGTGGGAGTTTCACATAGAACTAATAATGTATGTTGGCGTTATCATTAGTACCAATTTCAATTTGCCTAAGGACTTCTTTTAAAGATGATCGAGATGTTCAAACTTAATTTACCCTTCTAAAATTAAAATGAGATAAACTTTGTTCTCGTCATTCGTTGACTGCTTGGTGCTTTGTGCACAGAACATTGTAAAATAGAGGTAGATATAATATAGAGAAAATATCAGATTCTGTATTCTGCTCATAAGGTTTTTTTATTTTAACTTATCCGCATAGGATTCAAAAGGTATATTAACAGGATCTACATTACTACTTAATCCTCGAGCAGGTAGTGTTTATAAATATACTGCCTAAGTTGACTGATTCCTAACCGTCGTCATGCTTGTTCCATGTTATCTAGCTAGTTCCAAGCGCATCCTGTCGAGTGCTGCTAAGAGCACTATTAATACCTCTTTTTGTTTATTTCAGGGGATTAATCTATACCTGCGGGGCCATATGAGGAATGAAAGAGAAAAAGCTAGGATAACTCAAACAACTAGAAGGAATGGTCGGCAAAACATGATCCTCCTGCGCGGTTCAAAAGGAGTCGCGCGCGCGCAAAGCAAAGTTGAGACTCGTGCACAGATCAGAGAGAGCCGCGAGATGGTATGAGAGCAGCCGTGCATAAGAGGCTCATGGGAGAAACCTATATCAGATTCGAAGTATATAAACCTCTTTCTCCTGTGTCAGGTCAAAGTCTTGATCGTCCAGCATCAGACATCAACGTCCTCTCCCTTCTCCGTTTCTTTTCAAATTTCTATTCGTCTCTTTCCAACTTCCGACCTATTTCTTTCCAACATTCAAAATGTATTTCTCCAAGGCCATCATCTCTCTCCTCGCCGTCGCCGGCTTCGCTGCTGCCCAGGACCCTAACCTCGCCCGCCGCGAGGCTTTCGAGCTTGCCCGAGACGAGCATCTCGTTGCTCGCGACGAGTACATCGAGCAGCGCGACCTTTTCCTCCGCAAGGAAAAGGCCCAAAAGGTATTGTCCCCCCGACTTCCCCCAAGCTCCACTACATCCTTTCCCTTCCCTTTGCTAATTCATGTCTCTAGATCGGGCACTGCAGTCGAGACCCCAGGTCCAAGCGGATGATTTGCGTCAAGGGAATGGGCGATCTTTGCGGCTCATGCCCCGCTAACGCTGCCCAAGGCGCCAGGTGCTATTGCAACTAAACAGGCATCTTGACCGTTGCCCCCATCTTGTGCGTTCACTTTGCATGGGACACAACAAGATCAAATACAATGTGGAATGAGGGGGTCGGCGGTGAATCTGGGACGCACGGAAGGCTCTAATGCGGCTCCAACAGCTACTTCAATAGAAGCCCTGTCCTTTGATTCTTGCTTCAACAGCAGCTTTCGCTGAAAACTTAGAATATATGTATTATCAGAGTGAGAATAACACACGCTTTCTAACTCTTTTCAAAAAACGAGAAAATGAACTCAGACTGACCATTGCGCGTGCAAAAGTTACCGCCACGCTGTGGAGTCTCAGATTCCAAATGTCACCGCAACATGAGTTAGATATATGAGGAGGGGATAGTGTATTCCTATATGCTGTAAGAAGCATCGTTCTATCCAACGAAATTAGTCCAGTTAAACGCTGCACACCCAGGTGGGAATCGCCTCGGAAGAGGGTTCGAGTATAAAGTGAAACAATAGAAGATGCCAAACCCGACATCTCAACACAATGAATAATTGGGAATCTCCTCAAGTTTCCTAGTAACTTGATGCCGGTTCCTCAACCCATTACAACACAGCTGCTCCCCTGCAAGGAAAACTCAGGGAACCATTTCACCAAAGAACCCCTGATCAGCCATGAGCGTCTCCCAGTCCAGCCCCAAGCTGTACCCATCAACGCCAAACTCCATCTCATCCGCCGACGCCCCCAGCCCAGTGTCCGGCGTCGACGCCAACGACAGCTTCTCCACCCTCGTCATCAGGATCCCGTGGCAGTGCTCCAGACTGTCCCTCGCACCGCGCGCAACCTCGAGCTCGACCGGCAGGTCCTTCTCGATGGCCTCGGCCGTCGCGAGGATCATGCACAGGAACATGTGGTTCTTGACATTCGTCTCCCCCAGCCGGATCCTCTCCTCGGAGAGCGCAGCCATGTCCCGGATCCCCCTCTTCAGGTGCTCGCGGTACTCGCCCACGCGCGCCAGCGTCCCGTCGAGGCTCTGCGCCTGCGCCTGGAGGAGCAGCTCGAGCCCCGTGGCCATGCTGCACAGCCGCACCCCTTCGCGGAATAGCCCGCCGCCGGAGACCATGAGCCGGGCGAAGCCGTCGTCCGGCTCGGGGGTCATGATGGCCGTGGCCGTGTCGATGCTGAGCTTGAGCGAGTAGTAGTACATGGGGTTGGCGTGGGCCTGGTTGCTGAAGAAGAAGTGGAGGGGGATGATGAAGCGTCGGAGCAGGTAGTCGAGGAGGTTGCGGCGGAAAGGGGTGGATATGTTGCGCTCCGTGTTCCTCATCAGGATGGTGTTCTTTTGGAGGTCGGATGTTAGCTTTGAGCTGAGCTCGAGGACGCGCGGGTAGGAGTGCTCGGTTCCGAGACCCATGAGGAGCTGTACGATCTTGAGGCGGTTGGGGAGGGATTCCAGGAGCGCAATCTGGATTGATGTGTCGGTGAACCGAGCCTTGGGATGCGGCTCGAGGGCCGATGTCGTCTCATCCATATCCACATCATCGACATTAGAAGGTGGGCGAGTATCAAACTCATCAAAGGAGATGCGAGGTGGCATCCTGGAGTCTAGGGATGCCTGCACTACTAATTCGAGTATCGTGGCCCATAATCTGCGGCGGATCTCAGTTTGGAGGGTCAGAGAACGCTGTCCAGGGAGTTTTGTGGGATCACGATGGAGGCCCAGCTGCATAGCCCGATGGATAAGTGAGCCAGTTGACATCCAGACAGTATCGCCGCCGATCGCGAACACCTGCCGAGCCAAGATTGTCAGGCAGTACACCTGCAGCCCGGCGATACTCACCCTATCCTTCTCCAGCGGACCAGCGAGCCAGGTCTCAGCAGCATATATCCAATGGTGGACCAGCTCCGCGTTGGCAATAGTAGCGTCCGGAGTCCCGTGGTCACGGAGGCTCGAGCCTATCCCAATGACCAACAGAACAGTCAGGCGTAACTCTGCCGGCGCGGTATCAGCGCTGTCCCAGTACCTTTGGTAGTCAGCTGAGAAGGTCGGGAAATGGAGTATCCGGTGTGTCGACTCGAACGAGGCAAAGTACAGGTCTACCATCGTATCTGATATCTCACGAGACGGCGGGGCAAGAAAGCTAGACGACGAGAGGAGGCTTCTCGTCGGCCGGGCCCGTTTAACCGTCTTGGCTATCTTCTTACACTGTCGAAGAATGTCCCCGGCTTGGCAGACCATGGCGTGAGTTTCTGGATCTTTGCTCCATGTGGTTTCAGGAGGCCGGGAAACGATGGCGACCCAGCAGGCGATAATAAGGTCGAACTCCTGGGCCCCGTTTACCCAGCCGCCCTTGCCCATGTCCCTAGGTTTGGTGAAGAGTTGCTTCCAATCTCCAGGCTCGTCGATGGTGGACGGGTCCGGGTGGTTCCCGCAGAAAATTGCGCGTTTTGAGGAATGATTATGCTGCTGACAGTTGGTAGACTCCTCGAGCTTCTGTATCCTCTCTAACATCCCTTGGATGTCTGGGCTGTGAGCTGGCGCCCGGTGGTTTGATGATGGGTTTGATCCTCCAGATACTGTTACATGACCACGGGACTGGGCCTGAGGGGGGGAATATCCCCTCTGTTTGTCCGAAGATGTATTGCCGGTTGGGAGGGACTGTTGGTCTGGAGTCCGGAGTGCAGCCCCAGACGGAGATACGGGATCCGGTGATGTTGCGCTCGCGGTCGACGCTGGCGTCCTCCGGCGGCGAATGGGTAGAACATCATCCCGGTAAGCGCAGAGGGTCTTATGTCGGGAGCAGTGCGTACATGGACTTTTCTGGTCGCATTTGATCTTGCGGCGGCGGCATTCAAGACATGAGAGCGCAGGCCGTCTCCGTCGACGTGGGGGACCCGAGTCTAGGGTAGCTGCATGTTGCTCCGGCTGTTCCTCCACTTCCATGACGGCCATTTCCGGTGTTCAGTACAGTTGTAGGCACTTGCGATGGGATTGGAGACGTAATTGCTCAATTCAATGTTTCTTCTGGATTGAAATGAAATAGACTCGCTCCTGATGGGAGTGATGGGTGGCGTGAAAAGTCCATCTTCGCATGACGGACATAAGCACTTGACGGCAAATTCGCCAGACCGAGTAGTGAGAGACGGACATAACGATAGCGATAACGATAGCGATAAGATAGTGATAACAAGGAAAGGCCATCGTTCCACCAAGTGGAGAGACATCGTGCCAGCAGCCCTCTTCCCCTTGCCGCATTCTCAAAGACCCTGCTAAGACCCTTCTCCATTCTTGCTGTTCCTCCACTTGCCGAAGCACCGAATCGGAGGTGCTTGTGTGCCTGCACTGTGGTGTTCATTCGACAGCCATTTCAAGGGGAGTAATAAATAGCCAAGGACGGAAGAAATATGCATACGCAGTAGCGAGCTACTATTGGCCTGCTTATCTCTCATCCCTTGCTTTTGGGTGCCCAACCGGCCAGGAAATAATACATTGCTGGGCGTATGTACTCCGTACCGGTCTAGAACTTGAATAGAGGAGAATCCATGTCGAGGATCGGCAATCTCAAGTCTGGAATTCAGTGCATCGCAGCGCATTCTCGAAGACAATGCGCGGGGTTCAGAATCCAGATAAAAATAAGGGTGATGGGAATTTCGCATCCGAGCATCCCGAATCCATCCATCAATGGCCATGCCGGACAATTTGCAATCACCTTCTCAACAGAGACTCGCCCGCAATGGGCCTGTCCCTCAAGCAATACAACGTGGGGTCAAATCTTACCGCTTGCTTGCCCAGGCAGGAGGCTACATGGCTAGCTGCATCGCTAGGAGTCTGACTCTATCGAATTGCCCAGTGGCTAGTCTGGCAGCCGATGCCAAAAGAAGACAGGGCCAGGGCAAGCCGGGATCGTGGACGGGAGAGCATGTAGGGTACCTGCGTTGGATACGATCGAGGCAGTGGCCGAGGCAGGGAATCGACACGATGCGAGTTTGCGATACGGGGACAACGGGCGTCATGTTAGAGCGTCAGCTTGCGAATCCTACGTCGCTGGTGCAAACGGCGTACGTATGCCTCAAGCGGGCAGAGATGTCCACGTAGGGTTGCCCTCCATCAGGAAGAGGTAGGGAGAAGAACCGAAGCTTAGCTGCGGTGCCCCTTTGTGGTGCAGCAGCAGTCTGCGGCTATTGGCTGGTGCCTGTACCGAGCAGGCAAAAGGGGTACCTGCTGTAGGGGGAGAGACTCCGCCGGGTGAGGAGAGGCAGTTGGTGGGTGAGGTGGCCTTATAGGGGTAGGGCCCAGCATTAGCGGGTAATAGTGGCAGCATTAGTGAGGTCGGGGTGGCTTCAGGGTTGAGTGAGACACCAGCATTGGCAACGGCCTCTCCCGCGGTGCCTGGGCGCTCGCGGCAGGCAGGCTGAGGGCGATGGCAGCCGGGTAAAACCCAGCATTCGTCGCCAGCGAAGAGTCAATTAACCAATGTCCCCAATCACGGCCATCTGCCTCAGATCGGGGCGCGATGCCAAGCGGCCAAGGGGCGGGAGACGAGCCTGCGCTGGGCTGGCCATCCATCTGTACAAGCTGGTACCTGTCTTCCAGGCTCGCAGCTCCGGTACCCGCTTGCAATGGAGCCCTCTTGCTTGCGGGGCCCCCCTTTAAAGTGAGCACTGCATGTGCCTACCGAATCTACCGACGAGCCCGCCAGCTGGGCGTTGGATTTTATTTTTAGAGGGATCAGCCAGAACGTTGGTCGTGTTCACGCGCGTGAGGGAGGGACTTGAGAGGCCTCGCGCTGCATCGCATGGAGGAGATCCCAGAGGATTGGCCAGCGCTCCACCAATTAGAGGCCCAGCCCTAAGGCAGCCACCCAGGTACTGGCCCGTACACTGCCGAAGCCCTCTCCTGTGCTGTGCCTGTGCTGTAGGTAACTGGCCCGCTGAGGTATGTAGGTGGCCGCCCCTTGTTGGCACAGGCGCTGCGCCACTGGGAGATGGTGCTGCAGTGCCTCCTGCCAGGGGAACGCAGGTTTCAGGCCACCACCAGACCATCAGGAAAAAAAAACCACCTAATCTAATCCAAGCCAGACCAATTGAACCCACTGAAGGGCAATGTGGCACACCCAAAGTCACGCGCATCGCAAAGGAGAAATCAACCCCCCTAATCCAGTCCAATCCAATCCAATCCACTCAATCCCATCCGCTGCCCGTTGAGTGCTGCTGGGCCGACTGACATAATCAAACCTCGAATCGACACTCTCTCCATTTCATCAGTCCCCAACCCTTTTGCCCAGTAGCCCCAGCCAGACGATCTCCCTGGCCGCTGCCTCGTCTGTCTCCATGTGTCGTCGCAGCCGCTGCCCGCTATAGCACAGCAGGACAGTCCATCTCGCACCACTGATTGAGCCGCGTCTCCCATCATGCTCGCCGTCCCTGGCGACAAGGCGGCCCGCGGAGGAGGGGCGCATGGGAGGCACGCATCCGAGCCGCGACTGAGGCTGTCGCTGGACTTCTTCCGCAACGGCAATGGCAGCGCCAGTGAGGCCCCCTACCGTGACCGCGAGAAGATCACGCCCACCAGCCTGACCGCCCCGGCCCGCAACGCCAGAGACAAGATCAGGTGTCTCGACGGCCTGCGAGGCATCGCCTGTCTGATCGTCTTCAATTACCACTTCCTGTGGCCATGGACCCCTTCCATCATGCTGGGCTACGGCGCCAATCCGCCCCGCGCGCCTGAGCCCTACTACGACTGGTCCACGCTGCCCATCATCTGCCTGCTGCACCGCGGCCATCCCATGGTCGCCATCTTCTTCGCCATCTCCGGCTATGTCCTTTGCCGCCACATCCTGAGGGCCATCCACGAGAAGCGGTACCAGGCCGTCTACCAGGGCCTCGCCTCCTCGGTCCTGAGGCGTCCATTCCGCCTGCTGCTCCCCCCCACCCTGAGCATGCTGGCTGTCGCCGTCCTCGCCCAGCTGGGCATTTTCCGCTCCGAGGTCTCCATCTACCAGGGGCGAGACTCGGCCTACATCAACGGCACCGTGACTGTGAATTTCAGGAAGATCAACGGGACCTGCAACACCAACGACACGGTCCCCGTCAATGGCACATCCGAGCTGGCGGACTACTTTACCCTGTATGACTGGAAGACGCTCCACAACAAGACCGACTGGCCCCAGGTCCTCTGTCTCAATTCGTCTTCCGTTTTATTTAGCCCTGCGTCGCTTTATGGCATTCCCCAGGATGAGGAGGAGAAGCCCAAGATCCCGGAGAAGAATACCACCATCGTCATCAACGGCACTCTGTACAACATGACCTATGGACCGGACCGAGACCCGGCCCCTCCTCGCCCAGTCCGTCTGCTTCGTCTGCCCCGTGGCGAGACTACCGTGGTGCCGACGTTTGAAGAGGACGACCTGGAACTGGACAGCAAACCTGTCGCCCGTGACTTTATCCCCCCGGAGCCAGTCAAGCCGGAAACGCCGGTGCATCAGCACGAACCTGAGGAGGAGAAGCCGGAGAAGCCAGAGGTGCCAGAGAAGTCTGAGTCCTCGGACAAGCCATCCGAGTCAGAGACGTCAGACAAGTCGGACACACCAGATGTCCCGGAAAAGACCAAGGTGTTGGAAGAGGCGCCATCATCAGTTGCCCCCGCGGGCCCAGACACGACACTCCCCGCGACCAGTCACCCGTTTGGGCCGGAGAAGACGGAGGATAAAGAGAAGGCTGGCAAGGGCAAAGCTGACAAGGATAAGGCTGACAAGGATGAGGACGAGGACGAGGAGGACAAGGAGGATGAGGCGGACCCAGCTGACCCCGAAACTACCAAATTCCCCAAGCTGCCCACACACGGGCCCGGGACTCCATTCGCCCTCCTCAATTTGACAAGAATGGGCAACTTTACTTTGACGAATATTACCAACGGCACTGTATTACCCCTCCCCGCCGTCGAGAAAAAGCCTCCCCCGAAGCGCGAGGAATTCCTCTGGGTGCAGCTTGGCGGGACCTGGGAGGAGCATCCCATCATGTACGAGAGCATCAACTACGCCTTCACTAACTACACCAGAATGTACATCGAATGGGTCAACCCGTTCAACTACGGCCACTATCACCCCCGCTACGACCCCCACACCTTCACCATCCCCATGGAGCTGCGCGGATCCATGTTCATCTACATCTTCCTACTTGGCACTGCCAACATCCAGGCCAAGTGGCGGCTCTTCTTTGCCGCCATCCTCTCCATCTACAGCATCATCCTCGGTCGGTGGGATATGGGTGCGTTCATCGGAGGCACGATGCTCTCCGAGATCGACATCCGGCTCATGTCGTACGGTGACAACCCCCAGCTAGACGACGAGGATCTGCTCCCGCTGGTCGGCAACTCCAGCGCAGAACGCTTCCAGAAGCCCAGCCGGCGGACACACATCATCCGCTGGTCCTTCTTCTTCCTCGCGCTCTACCTGCTCTCCTACCCCGACGCCGGCGCCGAATGGACGCCCGGTTACATCTTCCTCTCCTCCTGGGTGCCCCGATACTACATCCCCCTGTCCGGCTGGATGTTCTACCACTCCATGGGCGCCCTCATGCTCCTCCCCTGCGTCATCCGCAGCCCCGTCCTGTGCAGGATCCTCGAGAGCCGCGTGCCGCAGTACCTCGGCAAAGTCAGCTTCTCCCTGTACCTCGTCCACGGTCCCATCCTGCACTGTCTGGGATTCTGGATCATGCCGAGGCTGTTTGAGACCTTTGGCCGGGCTATCGGCTACGTCATTGGCTGGAGCTTCATGCTCACCGTCACCCTGTATGCCGCCAACTGGTGGCACAGGAAGGTCGATGTCTGGAGCACGTTGCTCGGAAAGAAAATAGAGAGGTTGCTGGTCAGCCGAGAAAAGTGATATAAATTAATTTTACACGCACACAAGACACGCATACGCATAGGGGAGGACAAAGGAAAGATAAAGCGGGAGGGGCGCCGCCCTCGAGGGGGGGAGGCCATCATCATACATACACATTTAATAATAGCAGCCCTCGCTCTTTAGACTTATTTTCGGGTTCTTATGTTTGCCTATTTTCTCATGTAAACTTTTGTAGGGAAAACCTGGGTGGTCAGCATAACGGGCGGGCGCAACGGTTTGTCATCATCAATCACTGTACAATCTCACTTTTTCTTGGTCAATCTACCTCGTGGTGCCCATTTCATTATCCATGGTGCCTAGGTGAAGAATTACACATGAGGAATGTAACCGCGCCTCAATGACAAGATTGTACTGTTTGCTTTTTGCAATCCCATTCCAAGGTTCCGGGGCGCATGAGCTGGATGCCTTGGTTTGCGAACACGCACAATCGCGGGGTGTGATGGAGAACAGATATCATTAATACCTCATCGTTTGGGGATCATGGCTTCGGGTGTCCCTGCCACCTACGTGTGGGAATAAGTCAATGCTCCGAGGGAGTTGGGATCACGGACACGAAAGGCGTTGCTCTCGAACTATGGAGGATCTTTCTTAAGAATACCTAAACAAGATCATCCCGCGGCTAGTGACATTGATCTGCGCTTCGAGCCAGGGGGACTCATGTGAGCAGGGGTGCCGCCCACGTGTGTGAGGTTCACAAAACATTCTTCATCAGATATCATTCCCTGACCCTTGAGAAAGGAAAAGAAAAAAGCTTTTCTTTTGTAAACTAGACTGAGGGGCAAGCACGCAAGCTCAAGGGGTTATAATGGCTGGTGATCTTTACGCTAGGACATGCGAGCCGGCCTGCCCGCGGTATCCCAACTCCTCCCCGGTTTTGCTTGCCCTCTTGGGCATGCTCCGAATTTCCCAACTATCCCGGCTGGCGGTGCTCTTCGGTGGGCCCTTGATGGATAGCTGCCAAAAGCTGGTGCCCCGAGACCGCCCGGGACGACTGTCCTGACGTGGCTGGCGGCTAGCACAAGATGTTAATGCACTGCGCCCTTGAAACAAGCCCACGGTGCCTTCGTTTTCCTCGCTTCTTTGTCCGGATGGGATGTAGCACCTGTGGGAGTATGCTGCCGACTTCAGGATCCTTGATGCTCTGCTCAGCGGGAATCCTCGCTACCGACAGAGTCATGTTGTTCCTTGCTTGGGAACTTGGGTGATTGCAGATGCTATCATGCATCAAACTACCACACGGGCAAACGCTAGCTGAGGATAGGTGGCTTTCGGCTAAGTTGGTTATCTACACTATCCACTCCATCCATGAGATCAGGGGCAGGCTGCATGAACGCATCCGATGCCGTCATATCTGGACCGGAAAGCCAACCAGTTCGTTCCGGGCAAGAGATCGCATGTAACCCTCGGTTTCTGGTTTCTTGTTCCAGTCTTCATCGCTTGTCCCGTATCCATCCTGCATATATGATCCTCCTCCGCAAGAAACAGCACAGGGACGGACTAAAACACATGGTGACGGATCCGTTCATCATCGAGGCCTTCTCCTATCTCGCCACCTGCGTTGTCGTCCTCTTTTCCCGAACGTTCTGTCGAGTGAAGCATACGGATTAGGTCGGACTAGGCCGGGACGATGGACCTGATGCTGGCCTGCCTCATTCTGCTGCTCACCGAGACGATCCTCGCCTATAATGTCCATTGATCAGGATGGCCAAAGCGTCGATGTGTGCCTTTTACATGCGTCTCACGGTGCGTGCTATCGGATGTGGCTTGCTTGACGCCTTAGTAAACTTGCCCACAGGCCGGGCTTGCTGGTTATAGAATCCGCATCTACGTAGGCTTCGGTGGCATCATCGCTTCGTACATTGCCTGGATGTGGTCGATCCTCTTCGTGACTGATCTCTATCTGTTCATAATCCCCGTTCCGATGCTACGGGCGGCACAGCTCCCAAGGTAAAGAGGACTGGGCTGCTTGTCCTGCTCTCGGGTCGCACACTCATCATGGTCTTCGTAGTTCTTTGCTGCACTTACATTCTCAAAATCAGCATCTCTTTTCTACCCTCTCCTTTTGACGACCTGTTAGTAACAAGTGTGCGCTTCTGAAAGAGCGAGGCTGCGAGTCCCAAAGAACATAAGGCGCCGAATGGGGAATACGCAAGGCATTCGTCGCCATCATGCTTGACGATACCAGTGATAGCTGGAGGGGTCAGAAGAACATGTCGGCGGTATACAGCGGCACTAGGGCGTCGCGGAACGACGTGTTCGTGCACACGAGGGGGCAGCGCCATCTCGGAGGAGAACATCCTGCCGAACAGCAAACGGGGCGGCATCACGAAACAAGTGGAGCTGACGGTGTCAACTGAGGTGCCGGTCCCTAAGCTCAGACGTTTCACGGTGATTTCATGTAGATGGGCTATGCAGTCTTTAGTTACTACAAGCGCGGAGACGGCGATGTAACGGATGACAGACAGGGGCCGGCAGGCGATTGAGATGCGTTTTCACATTGCCATATACATGGAAGAATGAAACTTGCAGCTGTTTAAATCAACCTAGACTTTTCATTCTGGAATCATATACGTAGAAGAGTGAAGTCTTGCCTTGCGCTCTAGGAGGGATGATAGATCTATCAAGTAACAATCGACACGGTCCCCTGATCAAAGCAACCGTTTCCCTGCCTTACCTTCCGTTCCCGTATTTGACGGCACCACGACGGAGTGGGTAGTAGCAGCCACGGCAAAAACGGCAGAGGCCACGCGGCATCATCCACTCCGCGATTCATGGCCAGGGCCGGGCGACGATCGAAATATTCTCATTGTGCATTGTGCAGGGAGAGGCTTTATCAATCGATCAATCTCGAGTCTGTGAATTTCAATTAACCATTATTTCAAGCTTTCCTCTTCCTCTTGTGCGCCCCCGTGTTGCATCTCCGGTGTTCATGTTATCAGCACTCATCGCGCCTTCATGCACGTCTGATTGATAACCTCCGTGTTACATCCATGCAACGCTGAAGCCGAACTGCACAGCCCCAAGAAGCAGGTGTCAGTGCTCTTCCTGGGACGACATTGCTTGCGTAATCTCCATCCTACCTCGTCTACAAATGCCCCTGGATCCTGCATCACTGCCGACAGTTCAGTCCGATTATCTTGATTCACTCTTGGCACCCGGACCCCCAACACTCGATACCTGTCTCATCTCAAAAGTTCAGAGCCGGTTCTCTTCATTGCCATATACCAAACTCGCACAAGCTGCCAGCATGGGCCACGGACCAGCGCCATTCGGCCCCCCTCCACCTCCTCCCCATGGCCATGGCCACGGACATGGACATCCCCAGGGGCCGCCTCCACCACCTCACGCGGCACATGGCCAGCATGCACAAGGCCAAGCCGTGCCCATTCTAGCCATCATCTTCGGCTCCATCGTCCTCATCGTCCTCATCATCAACGTCTTCAAGTTCGCCCAGTTCTATCTCGAGCACCACGCCCCGCACAGCCAGGACGACAAGAAGGCCAAGCCCTGCAACGGAAACTGCCAGTGCCAGGGCCTGCCCCCCAACCCCAAGCAGCGGCCGGGCGTTGACCCTCCGCCCTACTCGAACAACAACGAGCTCGAGGAGCGGAGACGGCTCATGGACGAGGACGACGGGTCCAACTATGTCCCTTGAGCGTGCAGAGCAACAGGCAGAGAAGGAGGCTCCGCCGCTGAGTGCTGATTGAGACGAATTCCTACTTGAGTTTATTGTTACGAGATTATTTATGTAAACGGCCACTGGACACAATGAGGGGTGTTGGTTTTGTGCATTGTTCACTGTACACTTGGTTTTGCATTGATTTTGGATCCGCTTACGACCATAAATAAGGGATTTAAATGAAAGTCGTTAAGCTTGCTTCATGGTTCTTGTCTTAAAATAGAAAAATTCCATAAATTCTATCCCTTCACACAGTCTATCGTTCGGATCAACGCAAAGTGATGATTACGGCGTGCCCATACTTGCAGAGAACCAGGGGTAGAGGAATAAGAATAAGAGTTTTAAGCTTACTCTGTCTTGGCTGCATGTGGATATCAGAATCATTTTCAGACCCCCGCCCTAGGATTAGTAGAACAGTGCATCGCTTTGAGTAGCATGAAACTGATGGTCTTGGGATGTTTACAATATGTCGACGACAAAAATTCCATGAAGGATAAAAGGTATCATGTTCATCCAGCTGACCAGACAGAATATCGTATGACATCAAGCCCATTTTCATGGCTAAACGATGTCTACCCCATTATGCAGCATCGTCGGAAGCCACCTGCATCCCAAGTGTCCACCTCTTCTGTAATTGCTTTTTCTCGAGGCGAGTGCTGAGCTGTAATTCCATTTACAGAGTCACCTGAAGACGTTTCTTTCTAAATTCAGCCTCGTCCGCAAAACAAGCGAATAAACTGGTTTCGAATTGCTGTCGAGCCTCTTTCATGTTGCCCTATAGCCTCAGCCATATCTCATGCATGATTGAACAAGACGGTGTATGAGTACTGTGTAAACTCATGATGAGCCGACGGAGCCGATATCACCAATGCTTCCAACAGCGCCGTGGTAGAAAACTTTCTCATCCGAACGACGCAGCACCAACCACCACCCGAAACAATAAGTGATTATTTCACGGTTAACTTGAAAGTTCACTATATCTACCAAAAACCACGGCAAACACACTGCCCAAGCCATGGTCAAGAATCCAAGTTCTTCATGTATCAAATGATCCACGCTAGGTTGGTGATGATGCATCGATAGCTGAAGCGGGTTTTAGTCTACCTTGATTTTCGATCAGACTTGAGCGTTCCACAGAGATTATAATCTGACTAATAATAACTTACAGGATCGTTGAAGATTGATATTTAGTCGTTACGGCCAGCCAGCTTAGAATTTTCCGCTTCCAGTTGCGAAAGCCAAACTACCTACTCCACACACCAGAACATGAACATCGGGAAATGAGTTCAAGAAGGTCTACAAGTCTAAATCCACTAATACTGCTCAAGAGATCCCAGAAAATGAGAAATATGTTCAACACGAATTTAACAAATAATCCAAGCCCCTATCTATTCGAGCATCTTAGCCCAAACCCGACAACAGCCGAGGCTTTCTCTAAAGTAGTCCGGTTCATCCAATATTTGCCAAGCAAGAACTAACGGTCCTCAGGAAGTATGGCAATAATGATTATCTACCTCTTTATTTTATCTTCCCTAAAAAATTCTCCGAAAAGAATGTAGAAAATACACCACCCCCAGATAGTACAGAGCAAGGCCATGAGCCACACTTTTTGCGGCCTCCTTTTACGACACCATATGGCATACCTCGCTTATCATCTTGTCACATTCCTCGTCCATATCGATCACACGAAAGGTGTGTACATTTCACGCCACCTTAGGCTCTGCATCGTACTTTATTAATTTGCCAACCTCAAGTGTCAACATCTAATTTAGACCCTCGGGAACTATGGAATGAGCACCCTAATAGCCCCGCCTAGGCATTGCTTGCCACCTCTCAGATATATACTAGGTCCACGTTGCCGCCTTCCTCTAGCTTCGGCACAGTACTATATTCCGCATACGGGGGCCAGATCCATATTCTTAGAGCGAAGATGAATTAGTAGACTGTTAGACCACCAGCAAAGGTGTACCCATCCGCTGTTATGTGGAAGTTTTCATGCTATTTCTTTCTAATAGTCACAAAGTCTCATGGGAGGATTTGAGAACGTCAATTGTCCGCCAAACGGATATTTCTACTCGAGGAAGCAGAAAAAGCTTTAAATATACGCAAATCTCCAGGGGAGCTCCAGGAGAAGCAACCACGGGCGGCGAAGGGTAATGAAGATTTGTGCCGCGTGTAGAAGAAGTTGATATTGTTTGATAAAAGTGCAAGACATGCGAAATGTTCCCCACGAAATCTTATGAAGACTTACATTATTACTTTCCATCCATAAGATCACTAAGTATACGTGGCTACATAATAAGAGGACTTCACAATGTTAAACAAGGACAACATTCCTGCCTCAAGTCTGTCTAAAGCGAGCCACAACCACCTCGCCTTTCCAGATACCGAAAATACGATCCGCTATAGTATGTTCACTCTCTAAGACTAAGCAAAGCCAGATTATGAAGTTTACATTTTCATGGAGGCTCAGAGACAATGAACCATCTCTCTTTCAAGAGTCTGGGGGCGGGGCTCAACCTCCCGCCTCCAGGAACAAGTCATCCACTCCCCAACACGCCAGAAGAAGTTGCGGTGGGCACGGATAGATCTTCTCGGGGCGGTTCGGGGGGTCAGGGTCAATGTTACGCCGCTTAATGGATGAGTGTCCCGTCTCGAGGTTATTCCCACCTGCGGGACCGGCCAAAAATCCACAAATATTTTTTCTTCCCCAGTTATTTCTACCCCAAACCCAATTCTTTTTTCTACCCCAAGCATGCCTAACAGTCTGCAGGCCAATATGACTGATGATAGATAGTTTATAAGCCCAATGGTCCTCCTCGGGGAAGGGGGGCCCGATGGCAGTTCAGATCTAGTCTTGTTCCCTCATACTTCTAATGACTCAGTGTGTGGGGAAACGCCTCGTCTCCGGTGATGGCTGTTCACGATCCTGAAGAATACCCAGAGGCTCTGCCCTCAGACCAGTCCAGCCAGTCCACATGTGCCGACCATGACCTCGCCCCCGTCCAGTCCCTCAACGAGGACAAGCAAGTGACAGATGCCAAGGACACCGCCCACTCCTGGGCCATTGCCCTCCTCGGCCACCTCGTCATCTTCAGCACCTGGGGCTTCGTCAACGCCTTCGGCGCCTTCCAGACCTACTACGTCTACGAGCTGCGCATAGGCGACGACTCCAAGGTGGCCTGGATCGGCTCGACGCAGCTCCTGCTCATCTTCGGCATCGGCATCGTCGCCGGCCGGGCCCTCGACGCGGGCTACTACCGCGTCGTCTTCGCCGGCGGCAGCCTCCTGTACATCCTGGGCATGTTCATGCTCAGCCTCTCCACCGAGTACTGGCACATCTTCCTCTCCCACGCCGTGTGCGTCGGCGTCGGCTTCGGCTCCGTCTTCGCGCCCACCGTGGCCCTGGCCGGGACGTACTTTGACAGGCACAAGGCCCTCGCCCTCGGGCTCATGACCATCGGGTCTGCCACGGGTGGGATGGTCTTCTCCGCCATGGCTGCCCAGATGCTCCCTAGCCATGGGTTTGCGTGGACGGTCCGGACAATGGGCTTCGTTCAGCTGGCCATCACGCTCATCTGCGCGCCGTTCCTCAAGGTGTGTTCACTTACTCCTCTGTTGATAACTTATAAGAGACATGCTGACACGACCGATAGCCCTGCACAGTCCCCCGAAAGGCCGGCTCCCTCATCGAATGGAGCGTCCTCCGCAACAAGGCGCACGTCTTCCACCTCCTCGGCGCCTTCTTCCTCTTCTGGTCCGTCTTCATCGGCTACTACTACCTGGGCAGCTACGGGCGCGCCGTCGTCGGCGTCTCCCAGTCCACGGGCTTCTACCTCCTGCTCACGATGAACGGCATCGGCGTCATAGGCCGCGTGACCGTCTCGCTGCTGGGCTCGCGGCATGGGCCCCTCGTGCTCATGGTGCCGATGGCGCTCTTCAACGCCCTGCTGGGGTTCTGCTGGGTCGCCGTGTCGGGCGAGAAGGGCCTGTGGGCGTTCACCGTCTTCTTCGGCACCGCGGCCGCGTGCATCCAGGCCGTGTACCCGATGGTGCTCGGCTCGTTCGTCGAGGATCCCAGGAAGGCCGGGGCGATCACGGGGATGGGATTCTTCGTTGCTGGTGTGGCGGCGTTCACGGGGCCTCCTGTTGCCGGGGTGCTCATTCAGGTGAGGGATGGGGGATACTTGGGAGTCCAGCTCATGTCGGGGTCTAGTATGGTGGTCGCGGCCGTCATGTATTCCATCTGCATGATGCTGAAAAGGAGGCAAGTTTTGCAGAAGGAGAAAGAGTCTGCTCCGAGACAGTCTGCCCCAAGACGACAGGAGTTGATGTCGGCATAGTTCATCGTGAAAATCGGCCACGTAGACATAGAAGTTGATTGGCCTAGGCATGCAGACAAACATTGTTTGCAAATTAAATGCCTACACAAAATGTCTGAGTTGGAGGAGCGAATCTATGCAGTTTACCCTTTACAACCAAGATACATCTGAAGACAGCAAAGTCTAGGACGAAACCTTGTGGCAGGACCAGGCGTGGAATGGCTAATGAGACTGACATAGCCAAATATAGAGTCACTAATGTTATAGAATGATGTGAATTTCAGACAGATATATTAAAGAGGATGTTCCAAGTGTGGTTGATCCTGTTCTGCCTAGGGCTGGCCTTCATATGAACTCATGAACTACACAATCCTCGTGAAACTGCCACGAGGTACAAAACACACTCATTGTTTTGTCTCCTCCGAACCCCTTCGCCATTTTTACTCAACTCGTACACTCTTTGTGTGGACCAGACTCCCCTCTCATTGTTCTGTCCCACGTTCTCTCACACGAATGGTACATATCACTTCTCATCGTGACAACACCAGAGCAGAGTCCCATCTCAACGCTTCGTATACACGCCCGTCGTCACAGCATGATACCCCTTCCTCCCAACCCTCAAGCTCAGCTCGCTCCTCCACTCCTCCCCCCTCTGCAGCCTCTCCACCGTGCTGGCAAAGTCGTACCTCGGCCGCCACCCCATCTCCTCCACCATCCTGCTCGAGTCGTACACCCTGTCCACCCGCCCCAGGAACGCCCACCCCTTGGCCGCGAACACCTCCTCCACGCCCGGGACCAGCCTTGCCAGCACCGTCCTCGGGCACTCGTCCAGCTCCCTCAGCGTCCCCTCGTCGTTGGCAAACGGCGGCGGCGCACTGATAATGTACCGCCCCCATCCCTTTGCTTCTGCCTTTTCCATGGCGCAGCGGCACGCCTCCACCACGTCCGCGACATCGACGCGGCGGTACGCCAGCTCCAGCACCTTGAGATTATCCCCGGCCATGCTGGCGCGGCGCTCGTCGTCGTCATCATCCTCGGGGAAGAAGCGCGAGGTGCGCAGGACCACGACGGGGAGCGCGTGCTGCTTGTGCGCGAGGTGGCAGAGGTCCTCGGCGGCGCACTTGGTCGCGCCGTAGATGTTCTTGGGCTCGGGCCTGACCGACTCGGTGATCCAGGCGGCGGGGGATCCGGGTGCCGGGCTGAGGGCGGCGCCGAAGGTGCTCGTCGTGCTGATGAAGACGAAGCTCTTGAACGTAGTGGTCGTAGCCAGAGTGGCGGCGGCCTCGAGGAGGACGAGGGTGCCGGTGATGTTGGTGTCGATAAACTGCTGCTGCGAGTGGCTGCCGACGTGCGGCTTGTGCAGCGTGGCCGCATGGACGATGTGCTGGATGGACGGGTTGGCGGTGATAACGGAGGAGATGAAGACGCGGTCCGAGATGGAGCCGACGAGGGTGGTTGTCTCCGAGGGGAGGATGTCGATGCCGAGGGGGTTGAAGCCGAGCGAGGGCAGGGCCAGCATGAGAGCTGTGCCGAGATGGCCGGACGATCCTGTGACGAGGACGTCGTGAGGTGGTGTTGAGGCTGGGCCAGACATGGCGGCCAGGAACGGCGTAAGGTTTGTACAGCAGCCGGTTTGTTGTTTAATAGCGAATTATTCTGCTTGAGAGGCACAAGCGCGAATGAATACAGAGCAATGAAATTAGCCCGCGATATCGGGAGACGTGGTTGGTGAAGGTGAGAAGAAGCGAAGTGATGAGATGAGTGAAGCGAGATGAGGGATAAGTACGCGCTGGTGTAACGACGTGTGTAGGCCTACTTATCCTCGAGCAAGCAGTTATCGTCCGAGGGTGAGGAGTCGGTGAGAAGTACTGCACAAACGCGTCCAGACCGCGTCAAAGTGAGGTGAAAAATGGGTGAGTGGGTGAGGACGGGCTGAGATGAAGCGCGACGTGATCGGGCGAGATGACACACGCCGGCAGCCGAAGACGGCCGTTAGTGGGTTCGTGCCGGCAGGATCTTCGATGCCCAGAATTCACAGCCGTTGGATATCTCTGAGTATCATGAGTATGTCACTTGAACCGGTGTATTCCAAGCCAAGACGCGATGGCGACCGTGAAAATCAGTGATGGTGTGCAGTGAGTCAGACGGCGAGCGAGCGAAATTCACGCTCCTCCACCCGCTAGAGGAGGCAATATTTTCAGCGCATGCATATACAATCCAGTCTATTTTCGAAAGAAGTCTTTCCTCTAATAAGTACATTATGTACCTGGCTTATTATATCCCAAGGGCGCCAATTCAATATTTTCCAAGGTGTAGAACACACTCATGCCGCTCCAACGATTGATGAAGAAAGGATCATTCCGCTCCGATGATTGATGAAGAAATAGACCCTTGTCGGTGAAGAAAAGAAGAAGAAAAGGTGTCAAAACGTTCCCACTAGACAGCAAGAGCAGCAACAAGGATGGCCACACCCGCCCCCATCATCGACTTGGCCCCAGAGCTGGGGATAGACGAAGTCGCAACGGCAGCACTCTCCGTCGACGAGGCCGTCTCACCACTCGCGCTCGCAGCCGTGGCCAGCCCAGTCTCGGACTCGACAGCGCCGGTGATGACGCTCGTGCTCACGGCAGTCTTGGATCCCGAAGCCGAAGTCGCCGTCTTGGATGCCCCCGAGGCCGTCGAAGAAGAATCCTCGTCCTTGCCGTCATAAAACGGCACGCTGATCTTGTCCCCAATATTCCACACCGAGAAGGCCGTCCCGTCAATGTTCCCGCACGCCTCGAGCGGGTAGGCCTGGCACGGGAAGTTGCACGCCGAGTCGTCCGTCAGGTCCGACTTGGGCGGGTACGAGTCGCCGCAGAAGCATTTCACGCCGCCGCCGAGGGCGAAGACGGGCTTCTTGAGCGCCTGGCACGCCTCGCGGCACCCGCCCGACGAGACCTGGGTCTCCTCCATGCCGACGTCCTTGAGGCCCTTGGACGATTTGAAGCAGCCCTGCGAGGTCGGGTACCCGAGCCTGGGGGACTCCTTTGGCGCCTGCGTGGGCTCTGAACCGGAGGCGGCGGAGGCCAGAGGGGCCAGGAGGAGGAGGCCGGCGGAGATGATGGAGAAGTGCATCGTGGTGTCTGAGTGAGTGAGCGAGTGAGTGAGCGAATGAAGTGAACTGAAGTAAATCAAGCGAGGCGAAGAGAAAAAGAGTGAATGAGGGTGCCCCAGAGAAACAACATATGGGAATATTAAAGGAAAACTCATCCATCGCCCGACAAAACAAAGGGTCTCCAGCACATTGCCAATCCATCCTCATCGAGGTCAATGCCGACCCCGAAATAACTGCCTGGTGTCTTGGCGCACCAAAGATCCGTTTCAAGCAAAATGTCTGGCTCCTTCACTTCACCGCAGCTGCTGCTTGCTCGTGTTCGAAATGAGGATCCCTAATGCACCCTGACCGATTAATTAGACTCTAGTATTATCGTCAACCGTGAATTATTCAAGCCATCTCTTCCTGTCTTTCGTGTCTTTCTTTCCCAAATACTCCATGCACAGCAACGGAGAATAGGTAAGGCGGGAGAGCTATTAATACGGCGACACCTTATGACGATCCTCATTGCCAGGGGATCCCTGCATCCAAAAGCTCCCAACCGCACTCAAGTTCTCAACGGTTACTGTGGAACAGTATCATAAAGTTCCATGGCTGGTATCGGGAAATTCATGCGGCAACTAAGCCATTTGTTGCAGCTGTCTGGTTGGCTTGAAGAACGACAAGTACCCCCAGGTAGTTGAATTGCTACATCTCTCACGCGCTCCAGTGTGCTATCATGTAAATGAAATACCCTCTCTCTTTCATCATTTTCTCCAACTCCAACAAGTAACCATTCACCATAACGTAATATGCTCTATAGATATCCATGCTGTCGTGCCTTTATACTTTGAAACATCTCCCGTCATGCCTTGGAAGGCTTCCTCCCGTCTCTAACCGAACCGAATCCCAGAATCTGGGTTCCATGTCTTCTGCTGTTGCTGTTGCTGCTGGTGCGGTTGAGGGGCCTGCTGGAAATGTTGTTGCTGTTGCGGGATCCCCCCACCCCTTGCTCCCTCTCCAAACTTGATGCCAGCATTTGGGTTCCACACAGGTTGACCTGGTGGTGCCATCGGCTGCGGCTGCTGGAAGTTTCCATCTACCGCAGGCGCACCAGCCCATGATTGTATGCTTAGCTCTGGAGGAGGGTTGCTCTGACGAGGAGCCGTTTGCCGGGGCGCCGGTGTTACTACCGGTTGACTGGCATAATACGAGTCGTCCGCTTGCTGTGGACGTTGCTGAGCTTGCTGGTGAATGGACAAGTGCCCAAGTGACGGCATATTGAGTTCCCTGTGACAAAAAAAATCGTTAGCAGCGGCCCACGGGAGATGCCCTCGTTCTCAGCGGCAATGGGGGTTCCAACTCACTCTTCCAGCCGCCTAGCCTCCAAATGTCTCTCTGCCACCCAGTTCTTGACTCTATCTCGGAAGCCCTGGCTGACAATCTTGTTCAAGTCGTTGTAGAACTTGCGTGCCACCTCCAGGTTATTGACTACCTCCTTGTACTTGAAGTATGCATTGTCCAGCTTCTGCAGAGCCTCTTCGCGCTCCTTGGTGCCACGGTCGCTGTGCAGCCTCTTCTGTGACTCAAACTCCCTGTTCGCCCGCTCAATCACGCCCAGCACCTTCTCCTGCTCCTCATCCTCCTTGGCAAGCCCTTCCACCTCTGGCTCGTACAGCTTGTCCAGGCGGTTGTCGAAGAAATCCTCAAAGTGTGCAGGCACAATTGTAGCCGTCGGGTAAGTCCTCTCCAGCCGTGCACACTCCTTGAGGATATCGGGCTTGATGTCATCGCGCTTGACGTTCTCCCTCAGGGTCTCCACCTTCTTCCTCCTACGGCTCTCCAACCTCAGTACATCGCTGTACGCGCTCCTCAGCTTGCCAACCGCCGATCTCACCGCTTCCGATGAGTCTGTTCTTCGCGACGCCGGTACAAACTCCATAAGCACTCTGTCCGGCCCCGCGAGAACATTCAGCACCCTCTCGATGGCCGCAAACTTCTCCCTCACAATCTGGTCGCTGCTCGTGCTGCTAGCGATGTAGCCTTCAATCTCCGCGGCCACAGTTCTGAGCTCGGCTCCCTTGGGGTCATTGACCGAGTCTGCCCGCGCCCACCTATCCGTGCCGTACTTTCGTCGCAGCCTCTGGTCCTCCTCCTCCTCTGCCAGCAGAGATTCCTTGCCCTCGTCAAATATGGCCATATCCGCCGACCGGAGCTTGTCGATGTCGGCAAAGCTTCTGTGTACCCGCTGGACGGCATCGGCTTGCCGAATATCCTCAGCATGCTGGACCAGAGAGTGTGGTAGCCCAATGGGCTTCTCCATGGCCTGCAGGGAGCCAGGGAGGCCAAGTGAGGCCAGCAGGTTGTGAATCTCTTCAGTGAGTGACTCGAGCTTCTGGATAATGCTCTGGTTCACCATCCTGTCGCGTCGCTCTTCGTAAATGGAGATGGCAAGATGCACGGCGAAGGGCACAAGTCGTGCAAACAGCGCCGGACCATACTCTGCTTGATCACCCAGGTACTGGTAGGGGTTGGCTACCTGAGGGGGGACGCGCGCAACAGCCATATTGGCGCGCTCCAGAATCTTCAACTCTGATTTGGGTGGAACAGCGTCTGGCGTCGTGTTAGATAATTCATATCGTCATTCCAACGGGAAAGATAGCAGGGGCATACTCAGATAGATCATATCATTGTCCTTCTCCGCCCTCTTCAGATCATCCTCGGCCTTCCTCTTGAGACTGTGCAGATCATCGACGACAATCTTGCTCAAATGCCCGCCTTTGGCCTCTTTCAAGCCATTGGCCACACACGCGACCGCATCCATTAGCCTCGCAATCTCCTCCCCAAACTTGCCCCTCTCAAGGCAGTCGCAGGCGGCGCGATACTGCGCCGCAGCAGCAAAGTGGTGGTGCTTGGCGCTCATGTGGTGTATCCAGGCGTTGCTGATTGCCTGGCTCTTGACGGCCGTCTCGCACGCCGTGTTGTACAGGTCCGACACGCGCGTGGCCAGCTTCGCGATCGAGGCATCCTTGTACCCGTCCATGACGGCCTTTTGCCAGAAGCACTCCTGGCTCTGGGCCAGCATCAGCTGTATCAGCGACTCGAGGGTGTGCTCGTCCATGTCCTCGGGCGGGTCCGACATGCGCAGCTCCGGGAGCACGGTGGTCTTCATGTGGGTGAGCACGCCGGCGGCCAGGGAGAAGTAGTTGGCGGCCGTCTTGAGGCCGTCGGTGTTCCCGCGCGGGGTGTTGAGGGCGAGCTGGGAGTAAAGGGCGGCGAGGTTGAAGAGGATGTTCATCAGCTCGAACTTGAGGTTGTTGCGGACAATAGGTCGTTCGGTGTTGTACCCGAGCGCAGGGTACCAGGAGAATTCGGCGCCAATCTAGTGATATCCAGTCAGTCAGCCCATCCGTCTCCTATTGTTGGTGTTTTCGTCGTTCGCAACCAGGTTGCGCCAAGCAGGTTCAAACAAAGCAAGGAAAGCCAAACGTACATCAATGGGGAACTTGCCCCCGATCCACACCAGCTGCGCAGCATACTTCAACAGCTTGACGATGCCGCTCGAGTGCGGGTCACGCACGTTGATGGCCTCCTGCCGCAGCTCGTTTATCACCTCGAGGTCGCTCTTGAACATGTCGGGGTGCTGGTCATATTTGGTGTTGATGTACTGCCGGATGGTCGACGCAAGAGATAGGTGCGCCGACCGTCGGAACGGTAAGGACAGGATGTTGCTGGCAGCGTCGGGTCAGTCAGCGATGCAAACAAACAGACAATCATCGTTCATCTTCCAAACAAAACAAAGTCTGCCCCCACCCTCCGTCTCCAGAGAGAACGACGGGAAAGCGGGAGGTCGTAATCGCGTGTAGCGATCAATGGAACTCTTGCTTGGGGATGCAACTCACCTTGCGGCCATCATAGCGACGGGCTCGAGCCCTGTGAATAGTATGTAGCCAAGCTGATGTTGGAGGAGCGAAGCACTGCTCTGGGAAGTGGGACTGCTCCATGAGGTCATGCCTGAGTCGGTCCCTAAGGTAAGTCGAGGCTCCAACGGCGGGGCACAAAAGGCACAGCACTGACACTGCCTGTTGCTCTGCTGCTGTGCTCCACTACGGCTGCTCCCACCAATCAACTACACAAAAGGCCAGCTGGATGTATTATGTAAGCACCTATGTCATTCCCTTCCATACCTTTTCTACATGTGCCACGGGCTGGGAGGCATTCACAACAGAAGCTCAGGTATCGAATTAAGTATCTTTTTGGTTTTAAATGTCCAGACTAAAATACATCAGATTCATGCCTTGCCTTTGTCCTGGGAGGAGTGATACAAGGGCCTCCCGCCCCGTCTCTTCGCAGCTCTTGCGTCGTGTCCCTTCCATCTAACTACCTGACAAAAAGAAGAAAAAAAAGAAAAGGAAAAAAAAAGCTACAGTTCGCCAGATCCGCCAAGAACGCGTGCTTCTCGAGCAAGAAAAGTATGCAGAATTTACATGGCCGGCATGAAGCGGATGGTCTGCCAAGCTTGCCTGTGCCAGCAGTCCTTGCGCCAAGAAACCAGCAGGCTCGTGGTCGACCATATGCAAACTCCCGCTGGTGTCGTTTGCATGTCCAACATGTGGCAAGGCTTCTGAAATCCCGGTCCTCATATCCAAAGAGTTCGGATCGTGATGGTAAGAGCAGACAATCGTCTTCCAAAAGTGACCAATCGCCCCTGTACACGGCATGCTGTTCCTGGGCCGGCGAGAAACATTCTAGTCGTTGTAGCAGGCGGGTATCATCCGTGGTGCTCTTCACGTATGAGCGGGACACGGGTATGCTGATCAAAGCCGGGATCGCGAATACCAAGAAGTGAAAGCCCTCCCGACCTCATGTAGCCCGTAATAAAATAGACGAGAGAATAAAAAGGTGGTTCCGTTGAAGCATGCGGCCGTTCTCTATACAATCATGTCTTCGCCCAGTCAACCAAAAACACCAGACGCCCAAATAATCTCCTTGGACCGTACGATGCAACAAAAAACATCAATCGTGATGTGCATCCAGGCTT